CCATTATAACAAAACGTGCAGATAATGGCGATATAAGCCTGAAACTCAGTCTTTTCATCTGATGATGCTCTTTAGAAATATTGTCTGTATGTAATGCACAGCTTTAAGTCCAAAATGAGTAATACAACTACAGGGGTTTCCCCACAATGAAAGATAGCATTTTATAGGATGCATTTACTATAGTTCATAAATAGTAGACCTAGAACTATTCTAAATTTTTGTTCAGGGTGTGCTGCACCACTGTTGAAAAGAAAACATTATCTTTCCCAGCAGGAATATTCTACCCCGGAGAAGGAACCCTTCATGCATCCTTGGTCCTCTCAACCAAGAATGTAACTGGTTAGCAGAATCACATCACATACAGAAGTGTTAAATTGGGACGAAGCTGCTTTCATCTAATACGTTTATATTACAATAGGTGAGAAACAACTTATTGGGATATTCTTATAATTGAAAGCAACATATACATAATGGTTTATTGGATGAATTTCTTGCTTGTTACATCATTATTTTTTTCCCTGCTCAGTTTACGTGGATAAAGGTTTGTGGATAAAAAGGAGATTTACTTATGGAGCGAGATTTTAAGTAAAAAGAAACCAAAACCAACCAAACAAAACAAACATTGCAAAGTTTTTCTCTCGTAACACCACACGACTTGTGTGATCACAGCTGGAGACAATTTCAGGAACACTATCAACACCTGACAGCTGATAACTACTTTTACTCATGACTGCCTATTTTTTCACTTCTCATGTTACTCTGAACTGGAAGAGCTACATAATACTTAACTTATCCAATGCTTGTATCCTTTAATAGTAGAACAAACAATTATTTTTGGATTAAACTAACCTGTAAAACTCAGAGTGCATCTAACACACTCCAACAACCAAGAGGCACACAGCCTGGAGAGACAGGAAAGAGCCAGCCTGAAGATGATGCTGTAACACATGGACTGTGGACACCAGGTCCTCAGTACCAACCATCTTGCTCTGCGAAACCAGCTCTGTAGTAAGGCTGAGCTCCTTACAAAGGAGCCTGTATTGCTAAGCATCCACTTCAGTCATTTAACATGGCTACTTCACTGAGCCTCAAGAGGCTTGGGTTTCATTAATATTCTTTAACATTAGCACAACTCGACTTCAGCCCAAACAAGCTCTTTCCACACATCCCATTTTCCTCTCTCCCCTCCTTGCTGTCTTTTCCCTGTTACTGAAAATGGTGAGGTAACTCTTCTTCAAGCTCCATTTTGTCCAAAAACAGACTTACTAAGCCCACAATCTACTTGCTGATGTCCAAAGACAAACAGGTTGTAAAAAAGACTGCCTAACAAAGTTTCTCAATTTACACTTCTTTTAGTAAGTGAGTTAGCCTGATCTTCAAAGGTGTCCACTGAATCACAAAGAAATTACCTAGTTCTCTTGTGAGTTGATGTCTGAGTAATAAGACTGCAATACATGTAAGTTCATCAGATAATTATTTTATAAAACAGAAGAACATTTAAGGGTGAAAACAGACAATAACAGCCTATCTTTAAAGATTTACTTTGGAAAAGGGTAGTGGGAGTGGGTTTCATGCAATTGTTAGAAAAGTGGAAGATGTAAACAGAGCTGATTCTCATAGATAGATCCTGACATCCTCTAGGACCCACTGGAACCGAACAGCAGTGCTCCCATACCAGCAGCGTACTGCTGAGAACAAACAACTTCACGGGGTTGGAAGTATCCAGTCAATTAAATAGCAATCCAATTGACTGAACACCAGTACATTAATTATAAAGTGCTGGTTCACACAGTTGTTTCCTGATGCAACTCACTTTGACAAGAGATAAAGAGCCTCAGAACCAAAGTATAGTTATTGAATATTACTATAAACACTTGGCACTTGCACTTGTTTTAAGACAGCACTATAAATCCTGAATTCTGACTAGATTGTACCCATAACATTACCTTGGCATAGTAACAGTGCATTTTACAATTTATGCAATCAAGTAAGGGCTGTACAATAAAGATAATAAAAGATTAGGGCATATAAAAGTCAGCTTTCAAAGCAAACTTCTCCTGACCTTTCTGAAAGGGGAGAAAGGAAGTCTTTTCTCAGTAGTTCCCTCTCCTGCTTTTCCATTCCAGTCTTTGGTGACCTTCTCATTATCTATTTTGTTTCACAGAAGAAACAACAGGAAAGGGAGCTGCACATTTTCAGTAGCATAGTACTTGAATAGTTAAAAAAAAAAGAAAAGAAAAAGATCACTTATTCCCTGACTCAGCCAAAGTAAAGGAGTAAGAAGCCTAGGAACAAGATTTGTAAGGATTTCTTTGCAACAGAAATAAGGCTGGCCAGAAAAATTTACTGAAACAGTATGACAAATTATGTGGAACATGGTGATTTTCAAAAAACCAAAATATCATTATTTTTTTTTATCCAACTGTACTTCTTGACACAAACATTTGCTTTCAAGATGAATATTTTGAATCAATATGAACAAAATCTTATTTCAGTTGCACCTTCTATGGGATGACCTGTTTTCTGAGAGAAACAGTAAGACTGCTGCACAGCTGCTTTAAGGAAGCACTGAAATGCAACATTACTATGCTGTATATTATCACATCACAATACCTTCCGGCAGACAACTAAGCAGCACAACTGATCTGCTATGTTCTAGTTTTTCAAAGCAGACTATCTTTCCCATTAGTAAATAAAAAACAAGAACCATATTAAAGGAAGATCCATTACATTCACATCTTAACCCTTAGAGCTGCCCTTGCTCAGCACAGAATTGCGCAGGAGTCTTTGGGCCATGAGAAATCTTGGCACACCTGCAAATAGCTACAGGTTTAAGCACATAAAATTCCCAGAGACTCGTGTCCCAAGTACCAGAGGCAAGGCTAGAAAGAATTCAGGATTCACACATTTATTTACCTGATAGCCTCCTACTTGTGAAGGAGAGATGTAGAAAGCAGTACTTTGTATGCAAAAGTGACCGTCTCATGTTTCAGCTGAAAGCACACAGTCTTATGCATGATCAGGCATATTTTAAGGAAATTCATAAATGCTTAGCAGAGTCAAGTGCTTAATGGAAGGAGAAGCAATAGCATACCACACTGCATAGGTTGTCAAGACAGAACTGTCTCATAGGCTTTTCCAGTCACTCTATTGCCTTTCAGCTTCACACTTACGAAATTGAAAACTACATATACCTATGGTAACATAGTATTAAAAAAAAAAAAAAACAACAAACAAAAAACACAGACTATTCTACAAGCACATTTAAACCTCTAAAGGAACTTTTTTTTTTTTGAAGCTAAAACTCATACATCCAAATTGCCTTGGAGCATCCAGGTAAAACTCATTAATCTAATTATATTAGCATTCTAAATTAAATGGGATAAAAGCATTAAAAAGCAACAGTTACTGGCACTCAGAAAAAAACTCCAAGGAAGCATTTTGTACAGATGCATGAGGCTTTTTTGTTATTTACAATCCATGTACCAAATCTATTAAAGCAGGTCAAGGCTGTAGCAACTACGTTATGGAACAGTCCCAATGCAAGAAGAGCTGAACATGCAGACATTCCTTGCTCAGTTGTATGTTCCACACAACAATCACAAATGCTCTAAAAGTAGTAGCCATGTGATGACTAAAGCGGTAACTGAAAAACAAAACTTCACTGAAGGGAATGTCCCTATTCTCACTTATTCAAAGAGATCTCCATCCAACACAGTCTCCTGGTAGAAGAGGAACAGAAAGATCTGCTGAGGATATCTATTTTTATTTAAAAATGAAATAATTTTTTAAATTCCCCAAAAAAGGGGGGCAGTAAACAGCATAAATAAGTAAACTGCTGTTTTCAAAGAACTTACTAACTTCACTGGAAAGCACAAAGTAAAAGTTAATAGGGTACTTCCTTCAGATTTGTGGGTGGAAGAAGAAAGCAGTAGGTTCAAACAGCTTCCCATGACCATAAGAAAAAAGACAGTATTTTATGTGGTCAACAAAACAAGTCATCAGCAAGCCATTAAGGTCCATATTCAAAAACATTTTTATTCAAGAAAGGCAGAAATGCAGTTAGATTTTATGTAAGAACTTAAACCTTGCTTTGGTAAGGAAAAAATAATGTCAACTTAAAATTAAGTATAACATCTAAGTGAACCAAATAATTGCAAAGTGTTTGTACTCAGAAAGAGATGTCTCCAAAAATATTATTTTTGTTGCCATATTATCCAATGCAACATAAACCAAAAGGTTGCCATATCAGAGTTCGGAAAACTTCTAAATTTTTTCCTTCTTTGTACTTGATTGTGTATATCTTTAGCAGTAGGCCAAAGGTGTCACAGAAACAGACATGCAGGATAAATATCTTCATGACAAACAGAATTGTCAGAAATATAACATCCTGTAAGATAGATTCTTACAGTACAAGCTCCCTTGAGCAAAGCAGGTGAGTTAAAATTCAATTATTATTAAAGAGTTAAAGTACATCAAGCTATTATCATTTCAGGCAGTTCCCTTTGCTCCAAATATTCCTCTATTAAGTAAGCCATAAAAGGCTTGCTTACAGAATATTTCTGAGTTTTATACATTAACATGAGAGATTAAAAAAAAAAAAAACTTTTCCAAGACCTACATATTAAATCTCCCACAGAAATCAGTAAGTGGAAGTGAAATACAGTCAAGGACCATCTTTACTACTCTGTGAGTGTCTTCTTGTTTATCAGACACAGGAAGAGGGATTAATGAGGAAGAGTTGGCATGACAAAAATAGAGTGCTTAGCACTGGTCTAATTTGTTACTTAGACTAGATCGTTGAAGTTCAAAAGTTTATTAAAAATCCCTCTTGAAAGTAAAATATTTTATACATAACAGAATTATAATAAATATTTCATATTAATGATCTACTTACTAGTGAACTGCCCCTTAACTGTTTCCAAAATATAATTTTCAATTGTATGCTTCACAAATACCTGGAACTGCAGTCTAGCTTATCAGAAAGTATAACACATGCATGCAATTAAAAAAAATTTATTGAGAGAACCATTTTATTACAGTATAGAATGCTATTTCCATCATAAAATGGACAAAAATTCTGAATGAAATGAACTAAAACCCAAGAACCCCCATAATGTAAAGGCAATCAATGAACATATTTATCTTAAAAAAAAGTGACATGCAGTACATTTGAAATTTTATTGATGGGAATGCAAATATAACCATGGCATATCACAAAAACAGACTGTAACATTTCATTATGAGCAGTTCCTTAAAAACATCTGCAATCATTTGTAACAGCTGCACTTAGTATTTGAATCCTTGTAACTTCAATCAAAATATTCTTCTAGTAGCCTACTGCAGATGGTTATTAAAAAAAACTATGTCACAATTTACAGTAAAAAATGCCAGAAATACCTACTGTTCGCAGGTGCCAAATTTTAAGGATTTCATACAGCTTTATTTCAGGAAGTGCTGATTATTCTTCCTCAGGAATATACATTTTATCACTTGCTTAAAAGTTGTCTTCCCCAAAAAAACACAGGGGCACTTCTTGATGGCTAATTATCAACTATAACTAAAATGAATGCAGATGCTTATTATTTACACATTTTTGGTTTAAAATATGCTCTCCAGTCACCGAGATTCAATTTAATTTATGGATGTGCATTACCTGAGGTACAATGTTATCTAATGCATTTTTCCTGGAAGCGATACTAAAAGGAAACAAATCAACACAGAATATTTAGCTGAACTGGCTGTATTCTTCAAGTCTTTCTTCTTTTCCAAGATCTCATATACCTACTAACAAAACTTGTGAGAACACCATACATCTTTTATTTATCTCTCATGTCTTCATTGCTTGGATCTGATCTGTTAATAAAAAGAGACAGCTAGTATTAAATCCAAGTAAGATGAAGTATTGTTTTATTTCGCTTTTTGAAAACATAGCCCAGTATGTCCAAATTATGGAACTACATCAACAGATACTTTGTTGTAGTTAAAATAATGGGGCACAATCCAGTTTGAGTTGTTTTCAATTTTCTCTCACAACCACTTCTGAAATTCCTCCACAGTCAAGTAGTTTTCCTCAAATATAGCTAATTAAACAGGAAGAACCGTCTACATAATTTTTATCCTTTACAAGCTTAAGGTAAAGGATGAGAACAAGGTCTGAGAGCTGTGAAGTACACATTTCAGTTCCTAGTGCACATTTCAGCTTCCACATAACTAAACTAGAATTAACTCCCTGACAGCAATGAACACCAAAGGATTTAAAGTTTGTTTTTGCATAATTCACATGGAAACATCCTTGCTCTCAGTAACCACACTTCTCCATACTGAGAGCCTGATTGCCACTTCCAAATTCACTTCAAAGATTTTCTTAGTTAGCATAAATATACTGCATCCCCATTACAATATGGGGAAGTCAGCACAATTTAATTAAAAGCAGTAGTAGAGAATGACAGCTGTGTTTAGTCCGACATGAGACAGGTTCGTTTTACCCTACTGATGATATGGTGTTGCAATAGAAATCCACATTACAAAATGTCAAAATAAGCAATCTCAACTCTTGCTGAGGAAAAAAAGGCAAAACCTGATCCCTCCTGAAACCAGGGAAGCTATGAGTCTGCAAAAGACCTACAATGGATCTGCAAAAAGTAGCTAAGAAAAGGATGGTTGTTGAGAAAAAAACATTCATGAACCAGGTGTCTGTTCCTCCACGTAAGTTTATGACACTTGTGATTTAGAGACCAATATAACAGAGTTCTTCCAACTTTTCTCCTCCAGTGCTCTAGCAATGGGCAGGAGAATCATAGTAGAAATTGAAATGAAATCTTCATCTGCTGAAAGTGTAACTGCCAAACCACACATGCTTAGGTGACAATCCAGTTTAAACTTAACCCCACTTAAACTTTTAGGGTACACTGAAATGGGAGTTAATCAGAATTCTTTTTAGGTAAAACACATCCAAGAAGAATTTCAACTCAGAAAATGATAGCTATTCACTCTCACAGATAGCTAAAATTCTTAAAGAGCTATACAAGTGAGTGACAGCATCATCATCACATTTCATCAGAAAATATTTAGATAAACATTTGAGAACCTCTTTAAGTAGCTTGAAGCTACATACAAAATCATCAACTCCAACTTTGGACTGAAACTTAGAAGTTTTCTCAAAAACAAGTGGAGACCCTGGAAATCACAGGAAGTTATCACAGAATCAGAACTATGCCTAAAATTAGGAAATAGTATTATATTTGGAATCTACTCTCTGTAATGAAATACAGCAGTGAAGGAAGCTCGGTAGTAAGGTGCTGCTTCTCTACTACAGAACTCTTTTAGATGGTGGAGGATGCATCCGTTTCTCAGTAAGGCAGTAAATCTCTTTGTAAAAGCTATTTTTAGTTAGTATACCTTCACCTGAAAACATGACCAAATGTTTTTTGTATTCTGTACTAGTGTAGTAAAACCAACCATCTCCTTCTAATTAACAGAAAGGATTCTATGTAGAAAGGACAGTCTGGTAGCCATGGACACGAGGAGTAATGTTAATCAGGTAGAATGTCTGATACTACTTAGCTACACCTTTGAAGGAAATTTGGTGGCATTAACTCTGGGACATTGCTGACATCTAGTGGCTACCAAAGCACAGAACACGTCAATCTAGACGAACCTTGCACAGCACTTTGCTCTCAGACTCAGATTATTCTCCACTACCTAATACACTCACAATGTAAGCAATGTACTTAGATTGAGAGCACTAAAATTAGAACAATATCACACTTCACTATTCTAAACATTTAGCAGTACATGGGAGGACCATAGAGACCCAATCCTTACCAATACACAACATAAGGAAATAACACAGCAACCACACAAAGTTTGCAATTAAAGAATGTGTATGCAATACATCATATAAGCCAGATCTGTTATTTTCTATGTGGTTATGAGTGTCTGCATATGCTAGGATCTTTACAACGTAAACAGTTTTTTTGGGGGCTCTACATCAAAAAAAAAATAATTTAAAATCAGGGTATTTGTTTCTAGCCTGCTTATTCACCATTTCCAAATGCTTAACAACAAGATACGGAAATCTGCAACAGGCCAATAAGAATAAATTAAAGAACAAACTCAGCTACCACTATACAAATTAAAGTTTTGGAACACCAGGTATTATTATTACCTAAAAGAAAGTTTTGCACTGTTTCAAGAGTATGCATTAACATTTCATATACACGCTTTTGGCAGAGAACTAACATCATGTTTCCATGCATGTTAAGGAGAAAAATGAAAGGTAAGTATGAGATAGAGCATCAGTACTCACTGTGTGATTTGATCTGACAGCAGAAATGGATGGAAAGAAAACAAAGGAAATAAAGAAGAAAACTTACAAAATGAAAAGAGTTTAACAGAATGAGAATAGAGCAAGAGAATTACATATTGTATACCTTGGAGCCAATCCACACCATCCTGTAAACCTTCTCCTTTAAGAGCATCACTGGCACTGAAAGAAACAAATCAAATTATGAAGACATTGTAATAATACTAGTTTCAATTAACTCATCACTATACCTCTAATTTACAGAACAGCAAAGTAGCATGTACACTTAAGTTTTCTGCACCTGGAGAAGACTGCTTCTCAAAGGATTAATTCTACAGTACCTTCCCAATATAAGAACTTTCAAGATGTGATTTTAGTTTTGAGTAACTACTACAGTTCTGAGACAGGGGAATCATTCTTAGAACATGAGGGGCTCTTGAAGACCTCCCACATGAGGCAGCCATATTGTTCTGCTGCAGATACACTTCAATAACGCCCTCTGAAAATACTGTAAAACGTATGTTTTCTGTCTACAAGACCAAAGTAGCACCTTCCTTCCTCCCACATAGTTCCTATACAAAGCAAAGGTGCTGGAGTACTGGAGGAAACAAGTACTATGCACCGTGAATAGACACTTCTTCTAACAGCCACCCTAGGACTGTTTTATATTAGGCCACAATGAGAACAGTGTGAATTTACCCTTTGAATCACAGGGGTACAACTGTTTAAGGCCCCTCATTCAGCAGCTTATGAAAATTAACACAGCAGTGAATCCACACTGCTTTGTGGTTATCTATACAATTATTTCTCAAGGAGCTTGGGAATTCATCGGTGTAAAGCAACAATCCCAAAACAATGCCCAGGTAATCAAGTTAATTATTAAAGGGCCTAAAATGAAAATCTCAGTTTTCAGCAGCATTTAGCTGCTGATATCAATTTTAGTTTACAATATATGAGCTTTTGTAAGCTAAAAATCTAACTTCTGTAAAGAACTTCTGAGCAGAAAGGGTTTTTTCCCCTGTCAACATGGACACAATTCTTTTATTTATAGGAAAGCTTTACATCCTTCAGAAAGAAAATACAATAGTTCTTAAAACTAAAAAAAAGCCCTCAGACATTATGTGGTGCAATACTGTCTCTCTGAATTCCCACAGGAACAGCTTACTAAGGGATCTTTTAACAGCAGCACCTGGAGACTGAGAGAAAACAACTCTAAAGGCTTCGCTGTTGATATTATTTATCCCGCAAGACAATCCAGCAGCAACACGGATGGCAATTCCACACAATTTCCCAGCAAAAATAGACACAGCTACTCTTCTGATAAGAACATTGCTTTTCAATTTCACTGAAGTTCTCGATTTCATTATTTGGGTAACAGTTCTCTTGCGAAAATTTTCTACTCACAGTCTACATGAATGTACTGTACCGTGCCTATAAAATGTATTTCATAGCAAGTATTGTAATGTTTCCACTCATTCCACATATGGGAGACCAGCATTTTATCTGGTAGATTTAGTTTCGTCTTACATAATACTGAGTGGCATGATAGGACTAAAACATGAATACAAATTGTCACCAATAAAAGAGTAAAAATAAAAATAAAATGAAAGATTACCAGATATGCCAGGGCTTGTCTTTGATGTTTTCTAATGACAATAACTGGGATACTTTCACAGATGATATTGCATCCCTGAGGTCCATCTTGTTAGCAAAGAACAGAATAGGCAGTCGACGGTGCTTAATATCTAGGCACAAACAGAAATAGAAGAACCATGACAATATGCAACATGATCTCTGCAAATTACAAACTACAAACAATACAAGAAGGTATTCTGCTCACCTGCAACTGCAATTCTTTGAAGGTTGTATCCTACCAAGATGCACACTGTTGGGTCACATGGCCTCTGATGCATGCTTCAAGAAAGCTCAAACTTTCTGGTAGGCTTTGGCATCTCCCCCTACCTTATACATATATTTAAAGCTGTAGGTAGAAGTTGCTGGTGAAGCTGAGGAACAGGAGTTCAAGCAATTTCCTACAAATACTGTGTGCCTCTGTTTAGTGAGGATTGGATGTGTAAAGTGAACAGAAAAATTATTTGCATTCCTTCATATCCTCCCAAAAGTAGATGCATATGAGTAGTCTGCACTATTTTTTAGCATCCTGGAGTACATCCACGACTTTCTTTAAAATTCATAAAATAATAAAAGATGCAGACATCAGGACATCCCTTATCTGACCTTCACTTGAACAAAGACTTCTCTTCCAGAAGCTCTTTGTAGTTAATAGTGGGAACCATAGTCCAAACCAAGGACCCTGATACACTGCTAGTTTCTGGTGTATTTATACATGCAAAGCCTCGCTGATTACCATGAAAGGCTAAAGAGTCATTGCAAGGAAACAAAGCATACATCTGCCAGGTTGAAGAGAATAAAGCTGGCAAAAAATTACTAGTATCAGTGCCAGCTACAGAAATTGTTCCACATTATTTAAAAAGATTAATTGTGGGATTTGGAAAATTTGGATTTGAATCAACCCATAAAATTTTTCATGGGAAAAGATCTTTAAAAATAAAACTGATGAAAATTACCATAGAGATGCTTCTTAGAATAGTAAAGTGAAGAGGTTGTTTCCCATAGGAAACAAGTTAAGGTTTTATTCAGAACCTCCAAACAAGTCAGCTGACCCTGCTGGGAAGGGTGGCAGAACATCTTTAAAAAAAACAACTCTAACGCTGAAATTAATTGAACTTCTTAATTATGCTTTTACTGAACCTTCCCACAAATCCAGGGGAGATACTACTACTACAACCATACTCAGAGATCGTAAGCGCTCAACAAAATGCTGATGTTTTCACAACTGTTTACCCTACCTGGAACTACTTTTTCCTCTAACATGAATCAAAGGCCTTAAAATAGAAGCACAGAAAGAATACAATTAAATTTCTGTTTTGATTCCAAAATTTTGATTAGTTGAATAGCTTTTGTGTCTCCCAACTGATACTTTTACACTAACCTAAAGTACAGTTAAATGAACTCTCGCACTCACAGGTTGCAGTTTATGGATATATTGGAACCACAGAAGTTTGTTAACATCACATACGCAGATAGCCAAATTTACCAAGGAGCTCTCACTGTAGTTTTCTTTTTCATTAAGTACTTGAGAATGGGAACCTACCCACATAGACTCATAAATGCACACTTAAAGATGTTTGCTAAATAAACTGACAAACAGACGCATTTTTTCCTACCTTATTGTTTCCTATTATAATTTCCCCTTCCCCCCATCTTTTTGCAGTTATTGATGGAAAGCTAACATTTGCTTGTTGCAATAAGTTCTAAGATAACACGTTAAAAAAAAAAAGACAGACACTAGAGACATGCAATGTGTAATTTTATACAAAGCATTTCAAACATATAGAAATTTCATTTTATTTTTAGAAGCATGTGCTGGAGGTCAAGTGACCCAAGAGTCAACGTCTGACTAGGTAATCTACTAGGTATCTAATGAGGGTGATCTTGCAAAATGCTGAAGTAATAAGGTAACAGTGATCATTAAACAAGCTGTTATTTGTAGCGTGCACAGTCCACTATCACAAGTGGTAGTTTTGATCTTCATAACAATCCCAGCTAGTATAACTTCTACCACCATTAATGCTTCACATTTCACACTCCCTTTCACCTGACCACTTCAGGCAAAGCCTGTTTTACTGAAGGATTGCTAAGATTTTCAGGGACGGGAATCTATTCAAGGCATCCACTTACACTGTAAGCATGTTCATTTAAACCACTAGAGGGGGATCACAGAGGCAGAAGCACAGAAGGGGAGAAAACAGGGCATGTAGAAGAAGGGTGGAACAACAGTAATGCAAATACAAATATTACTGTAGTAAAACAGTTATAGATTGATGTGGTTAATAGCTACTTTTATCAAAAATATTCTCTTTGGCTCTCTTGGATTAAGGCCTGTCAAAATTCCAAAGGATAAAATAGGAACACTACTGCTGCATTTCACCCGAGCTGCCCCAAGGCAAAAATACAGTAGCGCCCTTCCTTGGTGCTGGGGAATACACCAGATGGCCGCAGCCACCATCTTTGAGAATGAAAAAACATAAAGCATATCAAAAGCTGAAGAGTGCTGACCTACTAGATCAGTGTTAGTAACCTGTTAATACCTAAATACGATACCCAAAATTGCAAGTCCTCAGCCTTAACACTTTTTACTCTTTTGTGTTATATAATAAAGCTCTACATACTGCAGTGTTGTCTACCTCCTATCCTTAGTCTTATGTGGCTTCCCTTGTATCAACAGAATCACCTGTTTACCAGTGTGGTTAATACCTGCTTTGTTAGAGTTCCCTGATCCTTACATAATCCACCTGCAGCCCTTGGTTCACCTCCTCCCTCCCCTTGAACTTTGCAAGCCCGTCCTTTCAGCGTCTACACTCAAAGTGGCCCATTCCTCTGAAGGTGAAATGATGAGGGCCCAGTCAGCTCACATATGAGCTCATCAGTAAAGATGCTGTAGCTGAGCATGTATTATATGCAGCCTGCATGGAAAAGGAAACCATAGCAATATGATTGGCTCCTATCTCACAATACTATTCTTGGTTAGAAATATAGAAGCATTTCTCTTTTCTTACTTCTAGTACTGTAACCCCACAAGTTAAGGCTCTACCAGTTAAATAAATATAAAATTGCAGTATGATTTCACTTTTAAATTTCCTGCATGTAGTTTTACGCTCTGGCTACTCAGAACAGCTACTACAGTGCTGAAAGTCAATCAAAATTGCACACTGCTTATAAATACATAATTTGATTCCAATAGTGTTGGCCATATGGAAAGGCAAAGAAGGGAAGAGTTGACTGATCTCAAAACTTATCTAAGAGAATACAGCCTCATAGGGGAAAAAAAAAAAAAAAAGTAAAATCCTCTAAAACTAAATGCCTCACCACGAATCTTCTCATATTCTGTCCTGCCCCATGTATCCTCTTATAGACAATTGAAACTGACTGGTATAACTACCCTGGTATCCTTACTTCCAGCTATCCTGCAACAGTAATAAGATAAGATCATGAAGATAAAAGAAATAAAATTTACATTAAAGGAACTAATCTTCATGGAAAAATTTAGACAAGGGAATTTTGTGTATGTTAGTCACTGTATACAGGCTCTCCAGCTTCTAAAAGGTCAAATAACTATTCTTCAAACTAGCACAACTTTTGTTCTATGTTGATTAAGAAGGAAGTCCAAGAAGAAACAATCCAACAAAATGTAGCCAACTGACAATCAGTTTGTAAGTCGGAATAGGTATATAAAAAAAAAAAAACACTTATCCAGGGCTATTTTTCTCATTCTAGTATTCGTGAATGTCTAAAATATTTATAAAATATTCACAATGCAGAATGTTTCAGTTAATAAGAGCTGTTCTTACAACAACATAACGAATATGGAGACACAAGGGGAAAAAAGCCTCCTCACCTGGATGATTCAGAAGAGTGTCAAGTTCTTCTTTGGCCACAACCATTCTTAATTTGTCACTGCTATCAATGACAAAAATAATGGCTTGGCCTTCTCTGCATAACATAAAAAGAGCAAAGAGGCAAATTATAGGTTCTCTTAAACTGTGATTAAGAAAAGGCTTCAGAAGAAACACCAAAAAAGCAAACAAACCTGTTTTTTCTTCTAATTTCTGTTATTTGCCATTAACATTTGAATCCAACCCTATTTCTGAAATTCAACCTTTTGACAACCTGCATACATTTTTTGAGACTCGAGATTGTTAGCTACATGACTCTTACAAGGTTCAGTGTACACAACAGCCTCTTCAGAAATCGTGATTTCACCACTGAGACTGAAAAATGAACTCTGAAAACATAACTGACTGCTATGCTGACAGTGTGGTCACAAAGTAAACCTGTAGGTAGCTTTTTGTAAAAATCCTTTGTTTCCTACACTAGAGCAATTTTATTTATAATTTTTCTTTTAAAATTGAAGTTGATTTTATTTTTTAAAGAAAAACAGCTGTTTAACAAACAGGCACATGCAGATTAACTTTCACAAAAGTCTGCATAAATAGGATTTTATTTTTTTTTAAACTTTTTAAAAACAGGTAAAAACTTTCTACTATTGCAAATCATCAAGACATTTTGCTGAAAAAATGACCACTGTCAAAATGTAAATGCACCATTCAACTCCTGTTTTCAGCATATTTATAATTCATATTTCATTTATTGAAACTTATTTGAAATCAAAATAAAGTCCGATCAATTCAGAAGAACAGCTATAGGAGATGCACAAAAGGTATTCTTAATTTACATGTTAATGTCATAGTTATTTGTCCTTTTTCTCTGAGAGACAATTAAAGGTACTTCCTCACCCCCCATACCCTTCAGTACTATCTTACAGGCAAAAACCCCATCAACAAAACAAAACCAACACAAAAACCAGTCGCCACTGACAAAAAGAAATATCTTGACCAGTCTAAGACTGCAGGAGAACATCCATTATTTTGTGAAATACAGCAGAACTTGAATAGTAAATAAAAAAAATACTTTGACTGTTTCAGCTAATAATCAAAAGGTTTGAGTGTACAATGCTAGGAAATGGAGTCCTAGCATGCATTTACTAACACAAAATAACTTCACAAACAGGTAGCAGTGACAGGAACACAACATAAATTTACAAATAATTAAGACACTTGTCTTTTGAGGACAACCTGGAAGATAGGTTCAAGCCAAGTATAAGGGCAAACTTTAAGTACTTTGAAGCAACTACTTCAACGCAGATATTTGATCAGAATTAATTGGCATTTTGCTGTTCTTATAAAGTTAAATGCAGCTTAACTTTGTAAACTAAACAGTACTTAATTATTTTATATTATTTTTAGCAGAAGTTAATCTTCAGTATTTGACTGCAGGAACAGAAGAAGTGGATACAAGCGTACTTTTCACTGTCAGCATTAACTAAGAAACTCCTTTCCCATTAACATTAAAAAAGCAGTTTGTGCCACACGAGGAGTAATTTACTGCATTAAATACATTAGACAGAAAAATCATTTGCTTATGAAACACTCAGCTAGCATTCTGAGTGCAGCCTAAGGGCATCAGCCATTGAAATCTGAAAGTTTTGGGAAACAGACATCAAATGCTCTTGAAAGCGATGCTCACGCAAGTCTTCAAATTGTTATCACAATTTTGACATGGAAAGAAGATGAAGTGTTAGTCCTTAGTTACAGAATACTATGAGATTTATCACACTTAATATTTATTGAATATTTAAATGATATTATAATCTCCTGAATGGAGAACACAAGCTGTTTCTGTGTGATATAATAATGTTCACCTTCTGTTGATCAGCAACAGGTATTACAGAATGCCAATGAAACAACAGAAATAAAGCTTCAAGTTTCATCAGAAGCTAGAAAAATAGACAATAGTATCTATTACCAGTAAGTCAATACTTGGAGCAGTGCATCCAGCTCTGGGTCCCCTATTACAAGAGATGTGGACCTACTAGTCCAGGGGGTGCCCACAAAGATGCTCAGAGGGCTGAAGCACCTCCTTCTGTGAAGACAGGTTGGGGTTGTTTAGCCTAGAGAAGGCTCCAGGGAAACCTTAGAGCAGCCTTCCAGTATTTAAAGGGGGCCTACGGGAAAGATGAGGAGATACTCTTTACCAGGGTGTGTAGTGACAGGACAAGGGGTAACTGCTTTAAACTAGAATACTAGTTAAACTAGATTTAGATTACCTATAAGGAAGAAATTCTTCACTCAGAAGAGTGAAGGTCCTGGCACAGGCTGCCCACAGAAGCTGTGGATGCCCCATCCCTGGAGGTGTTCAAGGCTGGATGGGGCTTTGGGCAACCTGGTCTGGTGGGAGGGGTCCCTGTCCATTGCAGCAGGGTTCTAACTGAACAGATCTTTAAGGTGCCTTTCTACCCAAACCATTCTGTGATTCTATGAGTACCATAATGTTATAAAATCCTACATCCTACTTCATAAGTGACATTTGAGAATACTTGATCAAATTCTTAGTTTACGTGTGTCACCTCATCCTCTGAGGCTCCTCACGTATTGAAAAAATAAAAAAGGCAACCCTCAGCCACCAACCAATATCTTTTGGCTCTTAAAAGTCTCTTACAGAAGAACAGAAAAGCAAGAGACCTAATTTATCTTGGTACTTTCTTACAGGATTTTTTGTTTTTATTTTTAAATCTTACCTGTAGCACACTCCTCCAATCTTTGAGATAACAAGATGTCCCCAAAAATATGATAATTATGAGCATATCAATTCTTTTTAAAGTAGTTTTACTTAACCAGACCAACCTCCTGTCGAACACCAGGCACAATTCTTCTCTAACTCATTTCTAAGCACTAGGTATTATTAGACTTCCATCTATACAATGTACATGCCCGCTAATATGAACAGCAATGCTTTAAAACAAATAATAGGCTTACTTGTAGTAATGTTCCCAGAGGTTTCTGTATCTGCCTTGGCCTGACATATCAAACACTGTGAAAGACAAACTGTAAAGAAAAGAAAATCAGCCACAAAGAACAAAACCAAAACCAAACCATTTACTTTGGTACCCTGACAGAAAGAGCCAGATCAACTTGAATCCCAATTATCTGTGAATGATTCCAAAAGGAACTTTGGCTGCTGTATCTGCCTTCAAAACTATCCCACCCAGCTTTGTGGTCTTATCATAGAAATACTTCACAACAGAAGAAATGTTTATTCTCTGCAAAAAGAACTAAATCAATTACAGAAAGTTGCACTGAATACAAAATAAGCTCACGTTCAGCCTCTCTTTTGATCACATTATCATTGAATGTTGTTTACAATGTTGAGTATATAAAATTTGGAAGAGCCATGACTTAAAATGCACATCCTGTCTTAAATTCTGTCCTTAGACAGGCATCAACAGCATCAAAAACATTCCGTAGGCTGAACTAACTTTAAAAAACCCAACAACTAAAAACAAACAAACAAAAAAACACACCCTGCTCTCCCTTCAGAGAAGCATCACATTCTGGCACTAACAGGTTTCTGCAGGTGACCAAGCTACAAAGGACAGTCTCTGCAACTTTGAGATTTCACACAAATGCTAAACACAAGGTCAGCTTCCAGAACATGACACGAAAACTCTGATCTGCTTCTGAAATGTTTACAGAGACAACACTGAAAGCAATATTTTTCTATTTTGGGTAGTCCCACATAGCTTCCAGAGTGGAAGCAATATCAAAATGAGGAGGTCTCAAAACATTCTTTCCAGTCTATATCCAGACATTACCAGGTTCTAGACCAGCTGCCCTGCCACGTAAAAAGTTCTTAACAACTCCAAAACAAGGTTTTGATTATAATACTAGAACTTTTTTTTTTTTGGTTAAACATTCTACATTGTATAATCGCAGGTCACTTCTCCTGTTACAGGACTAGAATAAAGGAAAGTAATATAAATGGATTTACATTCTCACACACCCAAACGCATCTTATGTGCTTTACTGAGACAGAATACAGCTGTGAGCCTCCTGAAAAAACAGGAACCCCATCAATCCCACATGTCAGCTCAAGGAGGAAACAATTGTCTTGCAGACTGACTGTACCCATTAAAAATACACAATGAAGGTTACAAAATAATAAACTAGTATCTAATGTTACCTCTTTGAAACATTTTTGCCTCGCCATATCCCTTACATATAACCTAGCTTTCCTAACAGCTTGGCCTTCACTCAGCCAATAATTTGTTCCTTTCCTGACCTTTGCCCCTGACATCTTTCCATTGCTAAGGCTGCAACCACCATTTTTCATTTAATGAGATTAGACAGCAATCTCCTCAGAGTCTCTCCAGTGAGAGTGCTTATTGGAATACAGGTTGCCACCTAAGTAACCGCCTGTCCTCAAGACTGTAACAGTGTCCCAGTCTGAAACAGTTAAGAAAGAAATCGGACGCTCATAACACACTACCGCAAAGCTTTTATTACAAAAAAAATTAAAAAAATACTTTACATATATAGTTTTATAGCAGTGCAAAACATGGAATATATTCTAACACTGTCAGTCCAGAATTGCAGCTAAGACACCTGCATGCTACAACTGCAGCAGGCTAAATAACACTTCAATACGCCAGCACACCATTATGCTCAGTTACATTACACTAAAAATGTGATGCAAGTCCAACTGTTGCACACTATTACAATTAAAAGGGAGAAAATTAAAGAAACTGCTACCTGGATGTCTTGAATTTCTCTATACTGAATCCTATTGTTGGAACGATGTCCTGAGTTTGAGCCTATAAGAGAAAGTACAAATTTTTAAATCAAATTAGAAAACACATAAATATTGAAATATATTGGTAACATGAATATATTATACATCTATTTTTCCCAATACAAAATACAATATGCAAAAACACAATGCAATACAAAAGATTTTTTTTTTATAAGTCTACATACTGTTTCTAAATAAATTCCCAGAAAAGCATAATAATTCACAATCAAGGTTTTTCATTATCTAGGAAAAACAGTAGACACAATCGGACAAGAGCACTGAAGACATTTCATCCTTAAAAGTGAGATTACATTAGACTGTGCGTGTACATGTGGACATTACCTAAGAAATAAAGATAAGATATGTTGATGTGGAAGATGACAGCTTGAAGACTATGACTGAGGTCAAAGTTCAAAATACTCATGCACTCTTACAACCACAAGGTCAGCACAAACAAGACTGCACAATGCCCAAAGCCTCTTTGACAAAAGAGGGTATACTTCTGTCAACACATCAGACAAACCATACTCAACTTGTCTGGAAGGTTCTGTCTGAGGCTGGGAAGTGTACTGCAGACACTACACAAGGGCCTAACCGTAGCTCTGCTCAAACTACCCGATCACTGGAGGAATGGCCAAAATGTGAAGTGTTATTAATAGACCTGACTGGTAACCAGATTTACTGCTGAGCTAGTGAAGTAACCCCTCAGCTAAATCAGTACAACAGAATAATAGCTCCTTTAGGAAGTAAAAATCCTGAGCAGGGAGAAAGGTTACATTTAGATTACAGATCACATTTAGATTACAAAAGTCCTCAGATTATAGAGCCGAGAAAGTGATACACAATCCTTTCACAGACTTCCTAGAGCCCCTTATTAAAAACACTTACTCTTCCCATGCAACTGAAACAAGCTTAGTTTATCCATCTACAGTTTTATTGTGAGAATGGTATTTCACCATCCTAAACGGTTTAGTCAGCAGTTCTCATCAACTGGGAAAATCTGTGCAAAATAAATGTTAAAGAAATAATATCATCTCCTCTACTTCAAATGTATTTATGAGGCCCAGCAGATACAACCGCAGGCAGGCAGAGCAACACTTCTAATTGCCAGGCAATTGATATATTGTTCCTACAGCAAAGCAGCACTTGCTCTTGAGAAGACCACACTGTTCTGAAGAATATCCAGAGCTGAAAATCATCTGTTGACTGAACTCACTAAAACCAATTTCATGAAGTCTGATCAAATGACGTTTGTTGCACATTAGAGAATTTGCCATGTCTTGCTAAGATAGGACTTATGCAAGTTGAATGCAAAGCCACCCTCCTAAAATATCACATTAAAAGAAAATATTCAGAAGTAAATTCTCATTACATGACTTACTGTAAAGCAAAGGAGAAATAAATTCTATTTAATCAAGTTAATCCCTCAGGACCTTCTTTTATATCTACCCCTGTGATAAATCTTAAAATCAGTATTTAGCTCTAGTTAGGACACCTTTACTAAGGTGATCCTGACATAAAAACCCTGCTACAGGGAAGGTTTCAAAAATTGTATGTATGTATATATATTTATATATATATTTTATATATACACACACGTTATATTTTATATATACACATACGTTATATTTTATATATACACACACACATAACGGTACATATACATATATATGTATGTATAGATATTATATACATATGTATTTTTTCTGTTAAAAATTGCAGCAATTCCCCTAAATGATTGGCAACAGACAGTAAGCAATTTTATAGTTTTCATTTATCAAGTTATTTCATTCTCATTAGAATACTAATTCCAAGGAATAGAAGGCTCTTTTACTGAGTTATATTTTTAAACAATGCCCAGTGGTACTCTTCAAAAAAAATAAAAATCAACGGAATTTAAAAAACAAAATCTGTGTCCTGATATAAGCAACAAAAACCCACTTTATTCCAAATGCATATAACCAAGATGCACAATCCTCATCTCAGCCATCATAAACCCCTCTTTACTGAGTGATCTTAGAAGATGTGCCATGTTAACACTGGTTTTGGTAAATGTTTTCATAACATGCACGCGGTTGCCGACATTTAGTTTTAGTTGGTTTGAAATTTGTAAAATACATTCGTACCGCTGTGCCAAATCAAGAAATTCTTCACACCTTTTTCATGATCACAATCAGTAACAGCATGCAAAAACAGTTTAAACAGACATCAACTCCAGAGTAAAACATCAACAGTAAACTAAGTAGACTACTTACATTTGAAGGTTTAAGTTTATTTATGATTGTTGTTTTGCCACTATTGTCCAAACCAAGGCACAAAACATGAACCTCCTTCTTCTTCAGCCCAAGCCATCCTGCTAGCTTGTCAAACAGTCCCATGATTCTGGCTGAAATGCACAGTGATCACCTGTTGTTCAGAAAATCAGAGATGGGAACAGCCGTTGGAAAAGGGTTACATATACAGCAGCGCTAGCACAGTAGGTGGGCATGTGGATAAGAAGCCCTTAAACTTTTAAAAGGACAGCACGAATAAGACACTGTCCAAACAGTGCCGCAGCAGGTCTGCTCAGTGTAATAAGCAAATGGTGTGTAAGCTGATTATAGCGAAGAAGCCCTGATGCTAAAGGAGATTGGCTGTTTATAGCCCTGCCGATGTAACACAGCGCCCTCGATTCACTGTGCAGCCATGCTGCAGGTGTCCCAAGCACACCAATAGAAGCATGAGGGCAACACCTCCTTACCTTCTGCTGAACGGACAGAAAGGAGGTAAAGTAGATTTTACTTCAAGCCGTCTACAGTCCTGTCAGCCACTGTAGTTTGGAGAACAAAGCAAAACAACATCTACCTTCTTCAGCACCTGCTATGTGATTTGCTGAACCCTGAAGTAAATAAAGCACTCTCTGTCAACTCAATTCAAACTGTAATTGTAATGGGCTTTGACGATATTAACACATGGAAATTGGGAGCTCATGCATTACAAATAGAAACTGATTATAACGGGTTCAACAGACACAAAGGCAGGCAACATTCACCTGCATGTCACATGGAAGCTGAACTCCTGCTCCTGCCCAGACACTGAAGTTACCTGGCAGTTGCATATTAGGAGGTACTTTCATCATGCTTTCCCGTGGGGCACTTGGCTGAACACGTTCTCAAAGGAGAATAAACTTTGTCTAGCCTGAATAAAGTCCTCAGAGAAAATTTCAACAAACAAATAAAAGCAAACATGTGTGACACTTTCAATAATAAAGTATTTTATTAATGCCAGAGGAATTTCATGGAGTGGCCAGGGTTTTTCTCTTAATAAAGAGAACACACCAACACTGGATAGCTCAAACCGTGAGGTTTATTACCCCAGAAAGTTAGAAAGAGAACGATGAAAAAATATCAGTTAAAGGCATTTGGTCACACTTCTTTAGAGTGGCCAGGTATGCTACATGTTGTTGTCACCAGATTAAACAAGTCCAACATCAGTTATAGCCATCCCTCAAATAAAAGTCATGAATTTTCTTCTAACTCCTTTTATTTTATGCCCTACTACTTTATTATGCAAACAAGCACCAGAAGCAGATTAAGACTTAGTGTTTATTATCAAATTAACCTGACAACCCCCTGCTCCAAAACACATTACTTCCTAGTGCAATCAAGCCTCACACACACACACACATATATATACATTCTAGAGGATGAAGTCCACAAAATGAAATAAACATTATGAAATTTTCAATAGGAAACCTCCACCTATTTTACATTTTTGAGCTGACTTGTGACAGCCTGTAACATGGAGATCAGTCAAGTGTTAATTGGCGGAGTGCAGCAGTGGCCCTTCAAAACACATAACCTCAAGCACTGAAGCTTTAGAAAAGTTTTCAAAGTTCTGGTGAAGCACTACAGAAGCGCTAGCTTGCTAACCACAATTTGTCGAGCACAGAATATTGCGGAAAATGTTGAAGCAAGACTTCTGTAAGAACAAGAAATATATTTATATTTCTCCATTCCCAAGTACTCCAGCCTATTTGAAACATCACCAACTCTTACAGTGAGCCAAACTAACTCAACGAAAAGCGCTGCAAAGCAACCTGCGGGCAGCAAGCTGCATCCCACAGCTCGCACATACATCCCTTACCCTGCAGCGTGAGCGGACAAGGGACAGTTGCACCGGGGTGATAAGAACCTCACAGGTACTCATACAACAGAAAAGGAGGAATTGCAAGAACTTAAAAACGCTCCTAGGGCTTACAGCCTACATAAAGGGCATCAGACGTGCCTGCAACCCGCTGTTGCAGCCCCCAGCGCCCAGCTTAAGCAGCAACCCAGAGCCCTGACCGCACGCGTAGGCGCTGCCTGTGAGCTCCCGAGGCAGAGCTGAGCACAGCAGAGCCGCAGGCCCCTTCCGAACTAGCCGGCGTTAAACCACCCCACCTTTATAGCTCAGCATCCCCGACAACTCAACCATAACATATATTTTTTTATGCACAAGTCAACCCCCACCCCCAACCCGACGCCCCCGGCGCAGCACGCACCTCGGCCCACAAAATGTCGGCCGGGCCCGGCTGCCGCCGCCGCTGTTGCCGTGGAAACCGCCGCCCCGCCCCGAAACGCCTCGAAACGCCCCGAAACGCCTCGAAACGCCCGAACGCCCGAAACGCCCCGAAACGGCCCCGCCCCGCCTGCAGCAGCCGCCCCGCCCGCCTGCCGGCTCAAGGGCCGCGGGCAGCCGTTGGGCGGGAGGCCCGTTAGGGACAGAGGGGCCGGGTGCTCACAGGAACGCCTGTTCCAGAGGGTGGCTGGTAGACTACGTAGGGAAATAAGGCACAAACCCGCCTTTAAGTAGTTACAACAGCTGGGCTTTGAGAAGGCAGCAGGTGGTTTTGGCTGGACACAGCATACAGAAATACATTTTTTTTTTTTTTTTGCAGTGCAGCTTAGTCCAGTCAGTGTCTTGTTTCTTGGTCTGCTGTACACAGTCAAAACTACTTAAATCCAAACAGCATTAAGTTTAAAGTAAATCACCCTCTTTCCTTCCACATACCTACGCTTAAATGCCCTATTTATTTTCTGTTCTGTGAAAATGAGTACCGTGATTTCTTGTGCTGCTGCAGTTACCACGATCCCTCAGGCCACCGTTAAAAAGCCTCATTAAGTTTTTAACTGGAGCACTGTCATGAGATTTCCTCGCTGTCTCACTTATGTTGAGGTACTTGTAGGACTTAAAAGATGGGTCATATTGTACTCCCCATGTTCAGACTGGTAGCCTACACTGCAGACCTGAATGAGACCCTATGCGGTCAAGCAGAACATGATGCAGGGAATACTCGCCGTGCTACCCCATCCTTATTTCTCACAGATTGTCAGTGCAAGACAGCTAGCTGAAACAACTCAGTCACTCTCTCCCCTCACTACAATCTGATGTTTCTATAATTCCAGATATAAAACATTTATTTGGATTTGTGCTTCACTTTTGAACAGAAAGTAAGCAATGAGTGAGGGGTGGATGGCATGGTTCTTCCCAAAAGAGGATCTGTACTGCTCCTTGGCCTGAAGAAGTAATTTTCTTTCACAAAGCTCCATCTCTCATTGCAATAAACCATAATCTAGTTTCACTGATGCTTTTTACTGCCTTGGGAAGAGGAGTGACAGCGATAGAAATAGCTCTTTGATAGCAGTGTGGATAGTTCTTGCTACTAAAAATCTTTCTGGTTATAATGTGCTTCATATTAAACTTCAAAGATTAAAAATACTGCCAACATTTTGTCTAGTATTTGGCTTTCTAGTTCTCATTGTTGCCTCCATTATTATTAAAGGTTTGAGATAATTGCAATCATGATTTCATGATTCTCCTAAACCCAGAAAGGTTCTGACTGAAAGATGAGATTCCTTCATAACATCGTGAGCCATTAAAGGAAATCCAAGAGGTGTATGTGTCACAATGAAATCCCGAGTTGAAGCACTTTCTCATAGTTAATTGGGTTGTGGGGTAAGTCTATGTTAGAAGTTTCATCTCCTACTTTTTATACTGAAATTAGTCTATATGTAAGAATTAGTTCTAAAGGCAACCAAGAGGTAAGAATGGCAAAGGTATTTCTGTAGCCAGATCTAAAAATAAATATTAATTCTTCATTATATTCTTCCTGTTAAACCTGATGGTCCCGAGTGAGAAAACTCTCACCATGACTTCTGACATTTATTTTCTATTAATCTACACATTTCTGTTGGCTCTTGTACTGCACACATATGATGTTGCGAAGGGAAAGGCTAACTGTAATTTAAAACTTTTTGAGGTATTCTGATTATTTTATATGGCACTACTTTTCTTTGAGAATCAGTCTCAAAAAAAAAGACTGATTCTCAAAATCACTCTTGGTGTTATTTACATAATATAGTCAGTTATAAAACAACATTTGTCAGCAAGTTTTGAAAAACACTAGACAAGGAGTTGCATGGATGAGCGAACCACTGTAAGGAGAATGAACAGCACTGTAGAATCTTAATAGTAAATTAAAATCTGATTAAAATTCAAATAGCTCGTGTTTCTTAAAAGGGGAGAGAGCTGTTTGGAACTTTTGATGTGTATAGTTTTTTCCTAATGTTATTAATTGTATGTGCCCTTTGAAAAGGTGTTTACCAGAGCATAAATGCTCAGTGGTAAGCACAGAGGAGGCCACTGTGATTAAGCATTCTTTTGCTCAAAACAAAACAAAACACCAAAAACACAACACCCTGAAGCATCTCAAGTGTTAGAACATATTGCCGGTCCATCTTTATTAGTACACCACCCTGTGTTAAGCAGCTGTTGTTTTTTGTTTTTTGTTTTTCCTCCTTTTTTTCCTTTTTTTTTTTTTTTTTTTTTCATGATCATGTATGACAGGCTTCTCTGTGTATCATTATATTAGTAATCTAAGGCAAAACAAACACCATTAACTCAAAAATAACCACCAGTACTGTAACTTTTATTTGCTAATAAATATCTTAATAAACAGGCTTACCCCATCTGTAAGACCTGATAATGCCTCTTAGGAAATCATAGAAAAATAAAATACAATAATAATCAGTAACTTGTACTTTGTACAAAAATCTTATTATGTTGCTCAGCAGGTAGCTTTGCCAAACCCCATATTCTTTCTGTAAAGAGATGGCGTATGTAATGCAATTCACCTTAAAAACACCCTAATGTTGAGAGCTGAGCATTCTATTACACTATTAACTTGTAGGCATGCCAGCACGTGAAAATTTACATGGAACATCATATTATCATAGGAATAGAATTTTTAAAAATGATAACACCACTTTTCAGTAAATAAATAACAACTTCACTTATGGAAATTCCCCTTGGGACTGCAGATCAGTATATTAAGCTTTTTATTTTGTGGCTATTCCTACAATATTGTTCTAAACCGGTTAAGAGACAGAAAGAAAAAAATGCACTTGGAGTGTATTTGGGAGTTGTACTATAGGAAGAAAGTCATTCTGAGCAGTGAGGCAGTCCCAGGGGGAAAACAACTATACCAGCTATGAAATGTTCAGTCTCTCAGAATTAGTAGATCTTGCTGTGTGCAGTGCTACGCAAGTTCAGACTAATGAAGATATAACAGTGCCAAGGTTGCTTTTGTGTGAGATGAATGGTGAAGATTTAGTTACAGGTAGTTGTCATTATTCAAATATATCTTGGTGAGAAGAAAAAGAAGCAACTGCAAAACAAGTGTTAACAATCTGGGGTCTTCAAAGAAAAGGTGATTTTCAGAGCATTGATAGGGATATGAGATCTGGGCTGAGGCCACGGTTTGTCTGTAAAATAGTTTGCAAGTATTATGATTATACTGTTACTTTTGAAGCCATCTACCTTTAAAGTTTTGACATGGCTGTTTAGATATATAATCTAAAGTGTCTGTCATCAAATAGTTATTCATATATACACATACATTGATACATTTTATGGCTATGCTAGAACAGCAGACTATGAAGAGCAGTCATATTTAGTTGTGTACAATCTAATTTCACAGAAGAGACAGAGATTAAAACCTCTTTAATTCATATACATTTAAAACCAACACACAGAAATAGAGGCTATCCTGAGAAAACATACCATCCACATTATATTCCAAAAGAAAAAAAAAAAATAAGCTAGTATTTGAAAGGTAATAAAACATTTTTTTTTTTTCCGGCAAGTGATTTTTTTTTTAAATGATGAGAAAATTAAAACAATTAACTCCAACTTGATCAATGAAGGTTGCTTTGCTAGAAAATAAACCACTGCAATTCAGTAAATACGGTTCCACATGATCTTTTTAAGCCTTTTTTTCCTTGGTAAACTGCAGATGTGATCCTGGGAAGTGCAGAGTATCTGCTTGTCATTACTGAAGTCAACAGGAGCTGTACCGCACATACCAAACAAGAGTGAGCCCTCCTTTGTTAGCCTCTGGGTTTTCAATCGTGGCAGCACCATGTGTGACAAGACTGATACCATATGGGAATTTTGACATTGGACCCAAGGCTCCAGGTAAGAGCAACATATACTGAAGTTCTGACTAAATCCAGTTCCTTCACCAGAGTTAACAAGAGAAACAACTTTTCCCACCCTTACCTGAAATAGCCCTCTACCTTGTGAAGAAATGTTGGAAGAAATTGCTGCAAAAGAAATGGTATTAAAAATGATATACTGCCAATTCAAGCCAAACTGTTTCTTCTTCTGGCTGATACAGAATCATGGCCAAAAGTTTAAAAATGTTTGTGTGCCACGTGTTAGGAATTTTAGAGTAGGAGGTTTTTCTTGAAATATGGAATTAACGCAAGAGTCCAGTAAACAGAACCACTAGGAGGACAATATTTATTTAATTTGCTACTGTGCCTTTCATTAACTGGCAAATCTCAAACCTTACACTGCAATGCACTAGGAAGTATGAAACAGAGCTTATTCAAAGAGGAAAATAATCAGCTAGAACTGCTATTATGAAGAGGAGGTCATATTGTATAATGTGTTTTTAGGAAGAAAGAGACAAATCCTACAAATAAAGGTTGTATTCTCTGTAAGTTCTGTTTGATAGGGAGGGTAGCTTTATCCTGAATTTCAATCCAGGAGTTTGGGGGATTTTCTAAAGAAAAAACAAAACACAAAACATTTATATTATGTACTGCAGTATTTCTGTTAGATGTGTAGATCGTTTTAAATACTTATTCCAAACTCAGTGTTGGTAACCCATTCCAGGTAAAACAACAGTGTAGCAAACACTTTTTTTACCTTGCATGTGCCACTTTGAAGGTAACCATAATCTATTTCACCACATCGTTGAGGCAGCAGCATTGTCTTTTAAGGTCAGTTCACCCTCTTTCCCCCTATTAAGGCAGGCTATCCATTCCATGCAAATCTTTAGAAACCCTTGATCCAAAAGCTATTTCAGTTTGTTGATATCTTCTTATGGATTTAACTGATTTTGGATTATGCCCCAAATGACCAAGCTACATCTCAACTCAAAGCTCACAACAAAGAAATTAAAACTAGCAAAAAGTTTAGCAATGGATTTGAATGACAAGACAACATGTGTCCTAATAAATGTTGGTTCTCTAACAACAAATCAACTTGTGATAGTAGTGGGATGCAGGAAGGAAGTATTTATTAGGAGAGCTGAATCCTACGTACTGTATGTGTAAGATAGGGCTTCATCCTAATGCCACTGGAGTCAGTAACAAAGTGATGAATTTTGGTCAGCAGCAAGACAGTGCCTATTGACACTGAAACATTTAACTCCTCACACAATTACACCATTGTCCCTGGAGTTACTCACTAAGGAAGTTTATTAAAATCCTTCATCAGAATGTGAAACACCTGGTGTTTTAGAGTAGAACCTTCCCAAGACAAAAATGTAATTGTGTAGTTGCATTTAGTAACTCAAATAATCTATAGATTTGAAACATTAAGTGTATGCCTCTCGACACCCCTCGTAAGGGGGTGTCGAGAGGCAGGAGACCTTTTCTCCATTAACACCAGCGACAGGACCCGCGGGAACGGGGTTAAGCTGAGGCAGGGGAAGTTTAGGCTTGACATCAGGAGGGAGTTCTTCACAGAGAGAGTGGTTGCACACTGGAACAGGCTCCCCAGGGAAGTGGTCACTGCACCGAGCCTGTACTGAATTTAAGAAGAGATTGGACTGTGCACTTAGTCACATGGTCTGAACTTTTGGGTAGACCTGTGCGGTGTTAAGAGTTGGACTTGATGATCCTTAAGGGTCCCTTCCAACTCAGGATATTCTATGATTCTATGATTCTATGATTCTATTTTTGTCTTTTTTTTTTTTTTTTCCAGCTAATCCTATTGTACATAAAGAAATAGTAAGTAATACAAATCAAAGCATTCAGATTGCTAAAAACACTTGTTTAGCTTTTCCTTTTTGCCTCAGTCATTGTCAAGTGGAGTTCAGTCTACAAAAGAGAAAACTGAAAATTTGGTGTGTAAGCAATTATTAATTAGATATCAGTCCTCTGAAGAAAAATTAGTTCTTCAGTTATGTGTGTAGAAAAGAAAATTGTTGTTTACTGGAAGTTCTAATTTAAATTATGACAATTGTACCTTATTTATTTATTTATTTATTATTTATTTTCATAAGCTGGACCCTGGAAAACCAGCAAAGAGATTTTTTCTAATCACTGCTGTAGAGAACCATCAGAACGTTATGCTGTGATGATACTATGAAAATGCTCCCTATACAGACTCAGTGGGCACTTTTTCATAATTTACAACCAGAAGTAAATAGTTACATTACAATGCAGATTTCCCCCCAATTTGATTATCCAGGTCCTAGATTCGAGGTTACTTTCTAAACAACTTTCTAAAACTGAGGCCCCAGGCAGCACACAGTTCATAATACAGACAGCTAGATTTCTTTGTGATTTGTGAGTTATCAGTCACAGGGTTTTGGCTTATCTACTGCTCAATATACATGCTGCTTAGCAGTTCTTCACTGAATTGTCAATAATGAGAAATATCGGTATAAAATATTTTATTAACAAATTTGTAATCAACTTGCTGATATGCATGTTAGAGATGAACATTCCCCAAAACTTGTATGAAGCAGTAGGTCCTCTGATAATATCAACAAATATGCTGGACTCCCAAGGAAACCGTATGTGTTCCTGAAGTTAAAGGACAAAATCACGTTATTTCATGCTGCCTTACAAATATTTTATAGGGGTTTGGATTTGCAAGCACTTTGTGCCTAACTCTTCATGTAAATAGTCCAATTCCTAATCAGCCTTCCTATATGAATTAAGCTGCACAAGCACTGAAATGTTTACAGATTCATGAGTTTCTGAATATGGCACGGTACATACATTATTTCTGGGACACACATATAGTTACTAACTACTCAAGTACTAAGACGCTTAGACATTGGTAAAAAATTTAGACATGGACAAAGCAGAACAACTGTGAAAGCTTGAAATGATTTTGAGACTGAACTCATTAATGTATTTTCCATATCTTCAATGTCATAAATTTGCATTTTTTATTTCAGTTTAATTGCAAAGATATGAAAAATCAGATAATATGCTAAAACTTTCTGGAAGAGAGATGTACGTGGGAAATTACTGCAGCAAAGAAAGGTAAGAGATACTGATATGGAATATTCAAAGAAACATACAAATAGATTTCACTATGTGAATGTGAACTGGTGTTATTTCACATATAAAAGGTGGAATTTTTTTTTAATCTACTCAGTTTTTAGCCTCATGTTCTTTCATTAAGAATTTTCTGTTCCTTTCTAAAGTTCAACACATCTTTTTATAGTATACATTGGCATATTATTACTCATATTCCTTTTAAGATTTCCTTCATTTTAACCTCAGTAGAGTCTAAAAATGGCTACTTAAAAGAAAATCACTTAAATACTGTTTAAACTCTTTGGTGACTTCAGCAGAGGGACTCAACTTTTTTATAGCATGGACAACATCTTACTAAGGATGTCAGCTGATGGACACCTCTTTTCCCCTTTATGACTGTTGATAATTTCTGCAGTAATTAGTTGCATGGAAAAAGAATCAGTAGAAAAAGATTCAGTGTGGTAGTGGCAGAAGGGTCAGCATCAGGTGACCAGACAGTTTTCTGTAAACTAGTTTGAGAAAAGATTTTTTTTTTCTTTATTCCTATGGAGGAAAAGAGAGGCTGTCCATTTCCAGAAAACAAGCCAAGGAAGTTTGGGAGGTACTAGGCAAATAGAGTGCACGCTGCTTAAAATTTTAAAAGCCAATGGAGCAGGTCAACTCCATTATCATTATTGGGAGCTATGTAATTAAGTTGTATATGCTTGAAAAATCTCAGACATTATGATATACATATTTACAATTCTTTATGTACATATCCACACATTTTTTATATCCATTACGTGCTCAACATACCCTAGTCCATAATCTGAGAATCTATATACAACCATAGCACTCATGGATGAGCAGCGTGTGCTACTAAATATGGTATATGATGGCAGAAGATATTTGTGAACTCTGAATACATGGAACTGTCTTGTGCAAGTTTTTTTTTTTTTTTTTTTTTAGAGTTCCTTGGCACAATATGGACAGTTCTTTTTCGCCATGTTCTAGGCTTTTTCCTTTTTTCCTTTTCAGTGCGGATTCATTTGTCTCTCCAGGAGATTTCAAGATCACTGTCATACTGTGTTAGCTCAGCCTAACAGATCTTTCTCTTACTCTCAAAATATTACAATAGTACTGTTAACAAAGGAAGAAAAATAGATTATCTTTGCCATTTATTCAGGAAAGATCAATTACAGTTGGTGAGCAAGGGTATTCTTGAAGAAAACAGTTTAACAGAACACAGTGCTCTTCAACCATGGGCAAATGCTATGATAAATGAAGTATCTCTATTTTAATACTTTTCCTAGAAGGTGCAATAGACTAAAGCCTTTTTACGGTTATTCTGGCTTTTGTTACTCTAAGAGATGTGTTGGACTGAATTAGAAGTGAGCCCTCCTTCCCCTTACATGCAGAACATATGCTGAGACAGACAGCCCATGAAGGAGTAGTTACAGGTATCCCGTGTTCATAAAGAGAAATTCTCGGCTGCCTGGATGTTCCCTGCAGAATCACTTCATCCGCTGAGTTGCAATACCTAAATACAGGCTTAAATTTGCAGTGGGGCCAGCTCAAATTCAGTGACTGGCCTTCACTACAAGTTAAAGTACATTCTATGCTGCTTTACCTTGGTGTTTGACACAGTCCCATGGGGTTGTTCTAACATCAAAATTGCTGTGGTAAATACACTCTTATTAGGCACCTCCACAGTCCCAGCTGTTCCACATAGTAAATCTGCTGCATCTGAATAAAGGGCATCTGTACATTACTTATGACACACAGTTGGGCCATGCATCAATCTGCATTGAAAATGAATTTAATCGAGCCCATGCTTAGGTTTATCATATCGATAAAAATGGAAAATGGATAGTCAGTCTTAAATTACAAAAAACAAAGTACTATTGTCTATGAGTCCCATATCAGAATAAACTAGCTAATACTTAATACAACTTCAGATGCAGAATGCTTTGTCAAGAGCAATTAAGTTATTTGAATTCATTGTTTACCGTACCTGTTTGCAGGTACAGGATTGCCTGATCCTGATGTATTAAACCACAGCATGCACCTAAGCTTTTATTAGACAGGTACTGAATTTATATTCATGGGAAACAAAAAGGTTACTTAGGTTTAAGAAAAATTTAAATTACATGGCTCAGTTCTCTCTCATAGAGTCCCATTGCTTCTCAGTAATTCCAAAGAGTATGCAAACAGCTCATGGGCAAAGTCTACTAAATCTGCTGTTATTTGTTTAATTTTAACACCAGCATTACAGATGAGGTCCTCTCTTTTTCAAAGGTTCAGCACAAGGACTAAATACAGTCAATACATGAGATTCATCTGACTAAACACAGATGCCTGTATATGAGCTAGTCATTCTGGTCTCAGGTGCTTCTCTGGCACAATTCACCTCACCCCAAAGTAAATAACTACGTTTGCCAGATGACATTTTCAGTATGTGAATACTACAAGGCCCATCTCTCTTCATTAAAATGGAACCTCAGATGAGTAGCTCAAATGCAGACCTCCAAAATTAGGTGGTAACAATTCCCCTCAACAGGTCCCAGGGCTCTGACTGACACATGAAGATGGCCTGAGTAAGGATGACTGACATGGTTTCCATGTTAGATGACTGCCCCTCTAGGCTACATGAACATTCAAGTTTCTTGTCAGTCAAATTTGGAAGCACTGTGGCTGGCATGTGATGGACAGCTGGGGCCGTGCCCTCATTGACCAAGAGACGCTAATCCAGTTCTCCTGTTCAGCAGTCAAGGCCCTCACTTAAGCTATCTTTTGTAGGCTTAAGTGGTACACAGGTAGTGGTAACAGTACAAATAGATGGAGTTTGTTCTTGATAAATATCAGATCTGTGAGAAAAACCTACACATGGATATTATTTTATAATTAGAAATAACTAACTTGGAACTATTTCCTTATGTCCACATTTGGCACCCCCCCCATTCCCTTTTTAAATTTTTTTGGGCTTGCACATCATGCACATTTTATTTTGTGAAACTTCAACAAGTACTTTTACTCATGAAGCACTATGCAACGTTGGCCAGATTTTCAAAACCAGCATACTAGACTTGCTTGAATTTGTTAAGTTTAAACTGTAACTGCACACTGCAATATGCAGGATAACTAAATAGAGTAATATTCACCTGAAGAAAGTATCCCCTTCAAAAAAAAAAAAAAAAGTAACTTGAATTTCACATATACATTTGTGGCTTACACAGGATTGGGCTCGCATTTGAGAAACACCACCTGTTTTTTTTTTCTTGGATTTTTTCGTTTGCCTTTGTTTTTAAATGAACAAAAAGACACTTAGACATAATAGTAGCACTTCTCTTTGTGCTGAATAACACGGAAGAGTAGGCTTGAAAGCATAAAAAGAGCGAATAAAATATTTCCAAAATGGAGCAAATGTAAATCTGATCAAAGTAACTACTATAAAAATGTCATATTGCACCTCCACAACAACAGAAACAAAAGCCATATGAACCCACAAAATCCTGGATGTACAATGTTTGTAATAAGTCTCCTCACCAAAAGAATCCCTTCTTTCCTTTCTGGTTACCCAAACTCTTGTTTATATAAAAAATATATCTGATTAATAAATGCTTTTATATTGTTATTATATTTTTTTTTCTATTGAAAATATATTTTCAGTAGTGTGATAAGTTTGGAAATTAATTTCCATGAAATATATCCAGGTTGCGTGCATGCAGCATACTGCTTTGCATACACACAACCAGGAATGAATAAATGTGCAAAGGAGAATTTAAAAGTGCATGCATATGGTCTGCATTAGTTATGAGTAATTTTGAAACCCCATTGACAAATAACAGAATCATACCTCCTCAGTAATACGTTTACATGTGAGAGAGGCTCCTTCCATAGATGTCACGTTGTTGGCCATGAAAGCAATGACAAGTAAAATGGAAAACAATAAGAAAGGAAAAAAAGAATATGAAAGGAAAAGCGAGTTTTAGATTACTCTGTAATGTTACTGTTTTTTTAAAAGGTTTCAGGTAAGTATGATTTTCTTTAAGGGAACCCTTCATAACAACAACACAAAAATTCAAATGTAGAATTGGGGCAGAATTTTTCAAGTGACAGTCACAGATAAGAACAATTTTTTTTTTCTCCACTAAAGGCCTGTGATCCTGCAAAACACACATGCTAGACAGTCCTAAGTGGGACTACTCATGCTGATAAAATTACCTTTGTGGCCAGTATAAGACTGGTAGTGCCCTTCTCTAAAACATGTTTACCAAGTTGGCATTGTAGAACACTGGTGAATCCTTATCTTTAGAAAACTTGTTCCTCAGTTGAATCTATTTATTTTATTTTATTTTAATGGAAGAAAGGAAAATTTACTCAGTTCACTATTGTTATCCCATGTAAATTAAGGAAGTTATTCCAAAACAAAGTAACAACAGTGAATCAGGCCTAGCACGTCCTACTCCGTGAACCAGTTGGAAGCATAATCTTTTGAGTTGCTTTCTGCTTTTCCTTCTTGCTACTGGTATATATCAGCAGCCTTTTCAAGAGTCAGGAAATACAATTTGATTTACAATCTGTAAATTAAGCAGTAAATATTATTATGATTGCATAAAGTAGTTAGTTCATTTTGATTTACATATATATTATTACTAATAACTCAAATGCACAATTTAACTGAAAATTTGTAATGCTTAAGTATATTGAAATGCCACATAACTTAAGAATGTCCTCCAAACCATGTATAAATTAACAAAAGCATCTGCACTCCATTTACATGTGACATGCATGTAGATCTGTGTGTGACTTCTCCAGCTTGCAGACATGTGCTCATGTCCCAGGCTCTTACTAGCACGTATCCCATGCAAAATTTTGGAAACGTAGCCCAGCACGAGTGTGTTAATTGTCTGATTAAAACATGAAATCTGTAAGTCTTAGAGAGGTACAAATATTATGTTAGGCCTTTGCAGCCATTTTCTTGCATGTAAATATGGCTATTGAAGAGTTCTAAAGGTAATTATCTTCGATGTCATTTAGGTATTTGTACTAAATGAAGATCTGGCCCATGGTAACCAGAACTCCATTTCAGCAGAGTCCGCTTTTCACTTCTAAAAGCAGTTAGAAGTAGACTCAAGGCAACATATTATTACACTGCTGTCCTATGTCTCCTTTTCTGCCTACGTACAATATAATCAAATACCACAAAGTGTAACTTCCAGCATTAGCCTGTGGCTGTACCACTGCCCTCTATTGGATGATGCTACAGCTGATCTGCTCCTATGGGATAAGGCATATCGCCCCACTGATGGCTGACCCTCTAAGGTCTACTGCCATGTTGAGTTCAAGTTGTGGAGGCCTGCATTTTTGGAACAGAAAACTTTCTGAAGTCTATGTGGCCACAACATAGCTGAAAAACATGCTTTACACGTGGTTATGGAAATATTACAATCAGTTTTCTGGTGACAATTTGCCACAGAGTAGAAGCAAATGCTGAGTATTAAAAAAGGTTTAGGGTGGTGAAGAATACAAAAGATGAATAAATTTTCCAACCTAATCTAAAATTTAAAGCATAAAAAGTGTCGAGTGCTAAAGTAATTCAGAATCAAGGACCTGAAGATTTCAGGCAGATTTCTCTCACAATCCTCCCAATTATCTACACAATGAAAACTCGCTATATAAAATCATCAGTCATTTCTGCAAACAATACTAGCGTTTTGAGGCACCGGCTTACCAGCATTTAAACTATTATAAAGTAATATAACGATAAGACCCATACATTTGGATTTAATTAAGAGATAAAATAAGAGATAAATAAATATTTATGTGAAACTTCTTGATTGCACATTTGGTATTGGAAGTTACATGGTCACAGAACATGAAAGAAGTCAAATACGTTTTGATCTACCAGCAAACTCTAAATACATCGATAAAGAAGCCACACCAGGCCAAATAGATTACTACTTTCAAGTGAGTTCATGAAAGTTTCCCAAATACTGTTATACAAAGTTACACATCCATGCTGAGTTATTCATCAATGTGTAGCAAGAGTCTTGCAGTAGGCCAGGATTTTATTGGCAGATAACTGACGGAGGAACTATGCAGTGTGATTAAAAATTCCAGTTTGGAAGCATTAACATAGAAGTACTTTTAGAGTCTAACCAGGAGACTGCAGTTCTTGAAGTTGGGAAGAGCAGAAGGGAAGAATGAGAATATTTTCCATTTTAGAAATGCTGAGGCACAAAACACAGTTGATTCCAGTACTTTCATACATGAAATCCTTTCTCCTGTATGTGCATCATGTGTAACCGCAAAGTCTGTAAACTGCTGACTATTCGTCTCTGGTGTCCAATGAGTACAACTCCAATTCTTCTAATGTCACTGCAAGATAAAAAGTTTCATCTTGGATGCAAGTATATAAAAACTCTTGTCCCCAAAGAATATAAACATAGGACAAGTTGCTCTGCTTAAGGACACTTTACTTTCCTGAGTGACAAACAGGGGACAAACAAGAATGCTGCAGATGTTCAAGTTTTCTGCATTTGTCAATTCCAAATTAAAAGGAAAAAAAAAAAAAAGTGCCATTTAAGAATTTCCCTCCCAGTTTTCCTTCATCTCATCCACCCTCCATCCCAGAGCAGGTGGCACACCTGCAGAGCCTGACTGTCGGGAATGAAGTCACCAGCCCTTAGCATCCAGCACAAGCCACCAGTTTGGCTGTCATCTAAACACCACCTGCAATACACTGAGAAAGATTACAGAGGTAGTGAGGGCAGGAAGCTCCAGTTACGCCCTGTCAATTGTACTAACCCCACAATTGGACATGGCATTGACATTGCATGTTTAGATATTCTCAAACATTGTTTTACAATTATAGCTAGTAAAGGATCTCATGGGTTGAGGCATGACCCTTATGAGTTTCACATTTGCAGTTCAAGATACCTGGCTCTATCCTGCAGATGAAGAGCCACTAGATAGCAGCAACTATTATGTACTTAGCCTTAACATCCACATGGGGGATAATATACAACACTTAAGATCAGCAGGGACTATGCAAAAATATTGAGCATCGTAGAAGCCTAAAAGAAGCAGCAAGGAGAATAAACCTTTGCAGGTGGGGTGGTGGTTAGAAATGCGGGAACAATGCATAGCATGTATCAAGAAAGGCCTAATAAAACTCAGAAAGAAGGTAGCAGGCTAAGGGTCAGAAAGGTTATCTGAAGAAAGAAGGAATCCTTCATATATCTGAAGTGTTATCTGAAAGAGGAAAGTAGAAAGGACGATAACCTTAAACAGATTATCAGTAAAAACACCACAAGGCAGACAAAACAGAGCTTGAGGAACAACCAGCCAAAGGCACTTTAAAATAAAGTTCATAATAAAACTTTCTGTAAACTCATGGAGTAAAAGAAGCCAGTCAGCATGTCCATAGAGTCTAATTTTAATTGGGGTATAAAAGAGCACTGGAAGACTGGCCACTAAACTATTATTTGTGTTGACATTACCGTGGAAGAGATTGACTCACAGAGCCAGTTATGGGGGACTTGTCAGAGTACCTGTCTGAAGTAGAAGTGACTGTCAGAAACATTATGGGACAAACTGAAAAAAAACAAGCAGCATCTTCAGAACAAGACTGTACTTAGTCAAGAATTTTAAAGGATCTCAAGGATAAAATAGTGTAAATACTGATAGGGATGTGAGAGAGAGAGATATAAGCTCATTCCATTTGCTTAAACATTTCTTCGTGCCTGAGGCATGGAGAGTGGTGACAGACAAAATAAAAAGCTTCCAGAGGAGATCTGAGGAACTGCAGACTTGTGAACCTGTAGTCATTAAAGGGAAGAATAGAAACTATAATAAGGAATAAAATTAGTAGATGCCTGGATAAATGATTTACTTGAAGAGTCGCTATGGCTTTTGCAAAGAAAAGTCCTGTTTTATAAAGTTAATTGCTTCCTATGGAGGAGTCAGCATGCATATGGATGAAGGCGATCCACTTGATACACTCTACTTGGATTTCCAAAAGGAATTAGAGAAAGTTCCTCATCAAAAGTTTATAGAGAAAATGAGCTATGTCATAAGAAAGTCTTCCCATGAATAAATAACTGGTTAAAAGATAGGAGGTTAAGAGCAAATTGTCAGTTTTTACAATGGAGTCATCAGTGAAAATCTGCAGGGACCTATGCTGGGATAATGATGAACATTACCGCTCGACAAATTGGTAAATGGTCTGGAAAAACAGGTGAGCAAAGAGGTGAAAAAGTCAGTTGCTGAGACTGAATTATTCAAGGTAGCCAGGGAAAGGGCCAGCTGTGAAGGGTTCTAGAAAGATCTTCTAAGACTGACTGTGCCATAAAACAGTAGATGAAATTCTGTGTAGGTGAACATGAAGTGATACACATGGTAGAAAACCAGTTCTAACTTCATGTGTAAAATTCCTGAATCTAAACTGACAACTACAACTACCATTGTTAACACAGGTAAGTCCCAGCATCACATAAAAGATCAGGAATGAATGCAAAGGGAATGGAGAGCAACACAGCTCTCATAGCAATATCATTATACTTCCATATTAATCCATAGTTTGTCCAAATCCGTGTTTTCACTTACAAAACGTAATGAAATTGAAAGTGGCTGAAAAAGGCAGAAAGTATGGAACAAATTCCATGTGAAGAATCACTTGGGCTTGACGATGTTCACAGCCAAGTAAGAAAACATTTTGCCACTGATTCCAGTGGTCTACATCAAAACTGATTACCCAGGAAACATTTAAGGATGCTCATTGCCTAAGCTTTGCTAGTGTGTGGCATGGTCAGAGAATGAACCTCCCATTATCTAATCATACCTTTATCTTTCATTGTTTTGGTAAAAGCTGTATTTATCTTTATTTGTCTTTTAATAGGTTAGGTATGAAAGGAAATGAAAGCAGTATTCCACACATCACAATAATTATGTCACTGCAGCAGCCAGACAAATTCAGATTAGTCACTACAGGAACAGTAGATTACATACTTACTCAATGCTCATTCTTGAAACCATATCCAAAGTTGTGAAACCTGCTGCCATGAAGTTATTTTTATACTGACCCATTTTTATGGAGTCCAGCCAATCGCTAACTGAAACAAACAAAGGATATTCTGGAACTTCACCAGGTGAATCTGGCATTCTGTAGAAACAAAATGCAAAGGTCACCAAACCAATATAAAATATGATGCTTGGTTTACTCAGGTAGACATTATTTTTAATAAAAGGCAGAAAGAATGAATGGGAACCCTGAGATGTAAAGGTCAGTTCTTAACTGAGGTTTTCTTTAACCCCTTGTCTAAAGCTTACAAATCATGTTAGTGTGCGCTTCTTAAACAACACATTTTTTGGAAAGCACTGCAACTTAGTAACAAAAAGGAACACACCTATGCCACTGTTCTTATTGTTACTACAGTGTTTGTTTGCAATTCTTACATGTTCAGGATGGTAATTGTTCGTAAATACAGTAGCTGAAGTAGGGAGAAAACAAAATTTAATGTGAGATCCAATTTAATAATATTAACATACAGCAAGATGATTTTTACATTTTTCTGTAAAGTTATACTAATGGCTCCTTATTGCTATACCATTATGCAATGTGAACACTGTAGCAGCTACAAAACTAAACCTAAAAAAGCAAGAACATTTTATATCTTTGCTTTTACACAGAACTATATAGCGTAGCAAATAAAAATGAAGGAGCTAATTTAGTTGAGTTTCTGTTTTGCTTCTTTTCCCTGTTGCAACTGAAATGGAAAGATGGAAAAAAAAAAACAATCAGGGGACGTGGATGTCCCATAGTTCACTGTGCACCATGCTGGTGAGGGCTCAAAACTTCCACAGACCTTGTAGGTTTTGTGTGGAGAAACTGTAGCAACAGAATGCAAAAAAACATACAGCTATGTATAAAAGCTTTATAGTAGCCTTTAGAAGGAAGATATACTTAATTCTCTCTCTCTCTCTCTCTCTATATATATATATATATTTTTTTTTTTCAGCTAAAGCCAACTAACATTGAGTGATGGAATATAACTTACATATAACGTAGGAGGCAGCACACCCTAGTACCTTAATGTGGAGTTTCAACCACACATCTGAATACATTAAATGCATGGATTTTCATTCATATCATCAGAATTATGCAGAGAGAAAATCTGGAGAACCCTGTCAGGTACAAGGCTAGATTACAGACCTACAGAGGTCCCTTCCAATCTGATTTATTCTATAATTTTACAATTCCTACAGCATAACTGCTGATCTTTTAAATTAATAGTAACACAGAAAGTATTCAGATTAACTGCATCAAGCACTTCCAAATTAATGGAACAAACTTTCCCAAACAGGTGAGCACAATAAAAGATCAACTGCCCAAGTCTTAAAATGTGAGAACCTTACGTAACATTTAAAAAAAATAAGAAATGCATCACTCTGATGCTAAATGAAGTGACCCATGTACAAGTATCAAGCGATATGCATATATTTACATGCACACACACATATATGTAAAGCAACAGGCCACTAAATCTTGTGCATGGACATTAAATTCCACAAGCCACTCTAGTCTGTGGTAGGTAGAATGGCTGTTGCCTACTAGGTATTCCTAGAAACCACTCCCTTCATAGCACGATACCAACCTCAGTCTTTTCCATATCTCTCATCCCTTCTCCAAATACTATCACGAATCTTTTATGCCACTGAAGGTCTTAGCAAGACTTACCTGGGCACTGAGAATCCCTTATAAGCCATGGGGATCTCTGAGAAAAGACATTTATCTTAAGGTGTATTTCAAATACTGAGGTCAGTGAGGCTGTCTGTAAGTTCACTCATTTCAGCTGCTACCCAGGCACTGTTTAGATTACTAAACTTGCAAAAGTTGAAAAGTGTTCAACTATGGCCTTTCCTCTCCTGTGGTTGCATTCGTTTGTGTAATGATTACCAGAAAAAGCTCTGGACAACACTATCATAAATTTGCTGTGCAATGGTAACAGTCTAATCTCTGTTTGGTCACCAGTGCCATTCTTCTGCAGGTAAGTTTCTGCAAGAAGTTACTCCAAGGCACTTCAGAAACTGCTCGAGCACTGTCAGATGGAGGCAGAGGGTACTAAATGGAGAAGGAAAAAACCAAAAAACAAACAACAAACAAACCTACAACGAGAAAAACACTTAGGAAAAGCACCAAAAAAATGAACAAAAACTCCCAAAGATTAAAGATAGAAAGTGAACAGAGCTCATAAAAATAAAAGAAAGAAAATTGCCCAATGTGATTTTCATGGCTTGGGAAAAAAGTCCTTTTGCAACAGTGCATCAAGAATGAAACAAACCTCAGAAGGGGCTCAAAATTATTTGAAACCCTCATAACACTGTCAATTCAGAACTTTGCCACTCTCTCCCACTCCTACCTCATACGCTAAAACATCTAATGATGGCCACCATGGCATATTCAAGGGGAAAGTGCTGAAAAGGTTCTTACACAAGTACATCCTCCACTAGGGTATGAAGGGTGCTTGGATTGCGAATCAGTTTGTCTAGGAAGCTGACGATATCACTAAATTTTGGACGGTGGTTCCTCTCCTTTTGCCAGCAGTGAAGCATTAGTTGGTGAAGAGAAGCTGGGCAGCCCATGGGAGCTGGAAGCCTGTAACCTTCTTCAATGGACAGGATAACCTGAAGAAATACAATGTATATGATTACAGGGCATTACAGTTAAATGCTGAAGAGACCATAAAATTGAAAATTAGAAACCAGTGATAACACTTAAGGGTACAGCCACCCTTGCTTTATGAATTGATGGAGCTTCACTCAGAAAATCAAAGCTAGCAGGAGTGTGACTGATGCTCTCTGTAGGTGGGCTCAAACAGAGCATCAGTCACAAAAGTACATCCCATGATGCATGTGAAATATTTTTTTGGGATACGAGTGGGCTCTTTTTTAGACTCTGAACATCCAAGAAATGAGGGGGAAAGAACTAGTAAACATCACTTGTCTTTTTCTTCCACCTGATGGTTGATGTTATACTGAATGGAGTCATAGGGCCATAAAACTAACCTCAAATTGCCTTTGCATACTGGGATGCTCTAATATTTGCATCCTGACAACATGTTGCACTACAAATGCACATTGGAGCATCCCACAAATTTGCTTGCTGATCATATGCTTCTACTGATCTTAGAGTACAACTAATTCAGTCAACGTCTCACACAGAGTTACAGCAAAGCACAACATTATTTTGCACAGCCTTTCTCAAAAAACCTGAACATCTAAGCTGTTTACAATAAATAAAATAAAACAAAACAAGATAAAATAAAAATAATATAAAATTCTGGTTTATATTGTATACCCTAAAGTACGTAAAACTTTCAGATTCAGTAGATGTGGGAAAACATTGGATTTAGAAAGAAACTGATTTGATGTTATAGATAAAGGACATGCATGAAAAATTACATTTGATCGGAAGCTTATTTTTGGTAACACTGATAATAAATAGTATTGTCTGAAATGATCTTAACAGCATGATAGAAGTAGCAAAACTAGCTAAGGTCCATGAAAATTTGGCAGGATTTTCTACGTAAGTTTGAAAACCAAGAGGAAAGCTCACTAGATTCTGCAATGAATGATGGTAGCAGTGGGGATGTTGACAGAAATGACAGAATTGTGCTTTCTTGTATGTAAAAGAATGGAAAGATAATATACAGTTGATCAAAAACAAAGCTAGGAAAAAAGCAACCCTACCACACACATATAATCCTTCCACAGAAAAATCCAAGTAATGCTAAATGTTCTTTAAAGTACACCTGACTGTACACAATATTTATAATAATACAGCACACTTAGGAGAAACATACCTACTGCATTTATACCCACTCTGCTTTAAGGAGACATTTATCATTTTCACGCAGATGTATGTACATGCTGCAGACATATTAATGCAGCTGGAAGGGGGTACATTAAGCTATTTACAACAAATCAATGTTTTATAGCACTAGCTGTAGCTTCAATATATTCAGTCTCATTATCCTGGAATATATCCTCCTTTTTTTTTTTTTTTTTTTTTTTTTAATTCTGAATTAATGTTGTTGGCTCTGTTTAGCAATGCCTAATGCTTATGCTGCAAGCATTATGCAAATAAATAACAGTAATGAAGCCACATTAGGACCTCAGCTCCCCTTTATGGCATGGCAGGGAACGGAACAAGAATCTTGTTACTGTACACAGCGGGGTGCCTGGGTTTTCTAAAATGAGGTGACTTGATCCTACAGTATACAGCCCCCTTGTACCCTGGCAGAAACACATATGCATGAAAAATGTGTTTCAACACCACGGGGAATTGGATTTCTATGAGTAAGTTTCAAAGCCATCAGTGGCAGCACTGAGGAGGACAGGCCACTCAATAGGCAGTATAATTTGCCATGGAGATCTCTGAGTTTTATGCACCTGTGAGTACCGACAGGTCGCATGCATACAGATGGGGCTAGCCACGCACATATGGCCGTGACATCTACCGGTAAATTATAGGTCAGTATGGTAACACTTCCACCTGCCTTCCTGGATACTTATCTCCCTGGGATTTACTTCAACACTCCAAAGTCTGGGTTGCCAAAAGGGCTGCTCCCAGAAAAAAATACCATCAGGCTACCATCCAAGCCCTTGCCTCCTTACCATGGAATATGCTCTCAGACGCTCCTGTTACAGACTCGGGGTGGGTGAAATTCAATCCCCCATGCACGAAATGTTATTCACAAAACTGCCAATAATCTAGTATCTCGAGCAGTCTGTCAGACGTGGCTTCATAAAACCTAGGTGCTTATTATACTACAGGGTATAGCTGAGGTGTTACTTGTCATTGAAGCTGCAATCTTCCACAGCCCAGAAATGCAGATATCATAGTCTTTACATTTAACTCTACCCATTGCAAATGATGAATTTCTGAAATGTTTTCTGTTTTTAAGGGAGAGGAAAAGCTTCTCTTCTTTTATTGGACATATAGCATTTGCTTGACACAACAATAGAGAGCTGAAGAGGTTTTTCTGAAATAAATTATTCAGGAAAAAAGCAAATGCAGCCACAATTTTGCAGACATTATATTTTCTCTGACACACTCTATTTCATGATGTCTTTGAAAAAGAAGTTATAGCCCATTTTCTTTCCTCTCTTGTTCAAAAGGAACATTTCAGTACAAAGGGAAATGCCAGCTGTTACTGGGATAATTATAATTTCTCATTGATACAAGAATGTTTTAAAAATAAACTGCAAATATTGCTCATTAGTATCCCTGTGAGGCAGGCATTATTTTTAGAGTTGAGGAAGTAGAGTAGATGTGATGAGAGGTGGTGAATACTGCAGTGGGATTTGGGTGTCAAAGGAAGAACCGTATCTTTTAAATTCAGTATTCTTCTCTACTCACTTTTCTACCTGCATATCACCTATTTCTGAACAGAGGAACTAGATATTCAAACAACTAAGAGAATGAGAAGCATTACATTTTTCTGGGTAATATATAAATTATTTAGTATGAAAAGATTATACATTTTAATATATTTTAAATGCTTTTTTCCTCAACAGCTTGAAGGTTGAAGCAGCACCACATTAATCACGAAAGGGGCTAAGTGTCTGTATCTACAAGAAGGATACAGCAAAAGCGCTAGCAATCAGCGTACGTCTTTGCACATTAGCAAATCTATGTCCCATCAAGTTCAGCCTGAAAGAATATGAACATGAGCTTAGTTTCAGTACATACCGAGCCCTAAGTCTGCTAACAAAAAGGCTGATTACTGCTCTCTCGTTCTGGTTTTGTGATGAATGCTTGATGGATGTGAAAAGCAGTAAAACATTCAAATACTCCATACTGCAATCAAACACTGAGAAAAAAAGCTTTAGGTTTCTTTTCAGTGACGAGGATATTTAAAACTCACTAGTAGGTCTTGTGGGTCAGCGTTAAGGTGAATAAAATGGGCAGGGTGTGTTTTTACAAGTAAATCTTTCTGTCAAGTGAGAATATAAAAGATAAGGGAAAGGGAGTATTTTTAAAGTTAACTAATTATTTCTGTGCTCTTAAATGCGTAGGCTTTTATGTTTATCAAGGGGAACATTCTTTTTATATATTTTTGTACACAGATGATATCAATCCCTGGAGTTTATTCAATATATTTTATCATTTTTGTCTGATGTTAGAAGCTGTTGTAAAGGTTGAAGACTAAGTTCATATTAAATATTAATTATACAAAAATATCTGAAAATGGTTATGGACTACTACATACAATTTATATATTCTTTAGTTTAAAAATAATTTCAAATTGGCAAAAAACAGTATCTGAAAATAAAGCTGTAATCTTTCTGATAGTTTCATTATTAACAGTAATATAGACTTTGCTTTTGAAAGCTAACTGACAGGTTTTTTAATGAGACAGAGGCAGAACAAAGCCCAGAGGGATGTTGTCCCTGTGTCCTGCTGACATCTGAAAAATCTACCAGGAGAGAGAGGCAGCTGCTCACACCTCATGGTACAGAGCCAATCCCAGGTGCCTGCCAAGTGTTTTGATATCTCTGGATTCAAAGAAATGTTTTAGGGTAAGTTATTATTACTGGTACAGGAAACTGTCATCAGCGAAAGGACTTTTGTTCTGTTTGCTACAGTAGTTTTCTTGCCTATTGATTACAATACATTAAATATTCTTTTTCTTTTGGAATACTGTAGTTCTGCACCATGCAATAATTTATACAATGGCCTCTAACAGGTGTCCCAGTAGACTTCACTCACAGCTGTTCTACAAACCAAATGCATGGAAAATAAATCTTCCTTTCCTCACACGAACATTAGCAAGCCAGGCTCTTAGCACAATCTGTTCATCAGTACACTAGTTTCCTTGGAAAGTTCAATATCTTAGCTAATGTTTATTAATTAAGCAATAAGACATGACAGACTGTGCGGCAGCCCTAATTAATGGATACCTCTGGTGCCTGCCACACATCTAAGAAGTGCATTAATCAGCACCAACACAGGTCTGAAGTGACTTACCACAATAATAAAATGGTTATTTACTTAAACAAGAACATTTCTCAAAGCTAATAACATTTCAAGCCTCTACGTTATACCGTGTACAGTATTAAAAAATGTATGAGAGACATTTTCAAACTCAGTTGCCTAAAGTTCAGCTTCCAAATCCCTGCTTGGGAATATGAATAGAGGATGCCTGATCTGCAAAGGTGTTGAGTGTCTCTGGCTTGCGCTGCCCCGGTGGATACATATGAACAGCTGCAGTCTGAAAATCAGATGGGGCTTATTTAGGTGACAGGCATCAGCTTTACACTTCTCTTTGCATGAGCTTGGACACTTTGCTACCTTGCTACCTGTGCAGGTTTCTCGTGCTTTTATTTCTGTGATCGAGGGGTTGCACAGGGGACCCTTGGTAGAAGCAGTCAGCCCCACGGCTCATCTGACTGAAGGTGTGTTCATGAGGCAAGGAGGCACTGAACAATGCTGAACTGTCTTCTACCATCTCATCCTGTTGGGTGGGGACAGGTGTATCATTTGTTACCGTGTTATGCAAGCAATCACAGAATCACACAAGTAAGAAGCAAATGTCTAACTGACAGCTGCTGCCACTAAAAACACGACTTAGCAGTGGTCTAAAAAGTGAACTAATTTCCCAAAATAATAAGAACAGCAATTTACAAGATGGTATGTGAAAAAATACTCCAGACCTGTCGAGTGGAAAACCTATTTCTTGTGCTCTACAAAAACCTACCCTGTTCTGTAAGTGTTTTATCACTAACTAGAGCTGAGTTTTATTAAGACCAAAACACAATGTCCAGAAAATAAATTCCTGTGATGTTAATGGTGCCAGATATTTTGCTACTGCAGAACCTGTAACTATACATATGTCCTTATTGACTGACTGTTTGCATAATATGTCTTTTATGAACTTGTTTAGTGCATGCCTTTCTCTGTTACTTCCTCTGCCATGTGTACAGGGTCAATGACCTTTGGGAAAATCCTATTATTTCTGCAAAGTAAGCTCATGTGAATTCAAGGTAACTGACTGTACTAAAACATATGTCCCAAAATCCAGCAAAGTAGACTTTACAATATGTCCTAATAACTTGAAAATTCCCAATGACATTTAGAGTCACTAAACATACTTAGAAGGTCACAGGTACTTGCTGTTAACATTTCAGCAGTGAAAGCCTGTGGGCAGGGCTCTGGAGAGAGAGTCCTTTGTGCTATGCTTTGGTGAACTGCAGGGAGAGCTCTCAGGAGTCCGCATCATTAACATAAGCAGCATCCATAAGGCCCACATCATTATTCTGTGCTAACAGATACTTATATTTTGGACATACAAGTGATTAAATGTTATCCTCCTGCTGAAGCAGCATATTTAATATGCCCTAAATGGAGAGGGGTCACTAATGAATTGTTGCTGCTGGCATAGTCTTGAATATATACTTTGTAGGTTCTGATAGAGAGAAATAGGATAGGCTGGAAGCCTGCTTCAAAGAAAGGGAGACAGGTAGAATAAATTTCTTTGTTGTGTAAGGACTCTAGCCTGGCCACTTGGACACTACTGTAAGGGTCCTACAAGTCATTCAAACCCTTCTACCAAGAGGTGAAGAGTGGGGCCAGACAGACTTGACAAAGTCTCCCTCTCTCTCCCTCGCCATTCCCAGTTGGCAGGAACATCAGTGAAAGACTCAAGGGCTGGGCTGGTGATGGATCCAGTGTGAAGAGAAGTATTGTGATTACAGGAAGTAAAAGAAACAGTGGTATCTGGCCTTCTCATAGAAAGCTAACCCAAGACCCGATGAAATCACTCACAACTGGAACAGAGACTGAAATTCCCCATGTGGTAGCACAAGATCGTGTGACAGTGAGACACGAGGATGCAGCAGAAAAGCATCCTCTTCCTCACACCTCTGCAAGTTGCAGTCACTCACAGCCACCCCTCATCCAGAGCTAGATAAGCAGAGTGGCCAGATGAGGGATGGAGACAGACCTTATGGGGAGGTGACACTGCAGCTGGAAGCACTGGCTGCAAGGCACTGCACAGAAGCCAGGCACCAGCGGCACGACCTGACTTTGTATTTCTGGCTTCATTAATCTCAAAAAAAAACATGAACAGGGTGCTGCAGAGGGAAGTGTGAAGTGAAATATCAATTACATGGTGAGGAAATCTAGGCAAAAGACTGCTGCCCATGATACGTTCAGAGGCAAGAGCAGAAAGGACCATGAGCCATTTTTGTATTTATGCACAGTCCCTTGACCAGGCAGGATTAATTGGGTTGGAAGAGAAAAAGCAACTGCCCAGTGAGCCTCACTTGTAAAGCCACATGTGGACATTTCACCTACTGCTCAGGGACTGCTGAGTGGAAAAGAGGCAGGGGGCACAAACTGAAAAACATGAAATTCCATCAAAACGTGAGAAAATCCTTTTCTGCTGTGATGGTGACTGAGAACTGGCGCAGGCTGTCCTGAGAGCTTGAGGAGTCTCCCTCTTTGGGGATGCTCCAGGAGGGAGATGGTCCTGAGCAAACTGCTTTAGCTGACCCCGCTTGAGCAAGGGGTGTCGGACAAGACAGTCTTGAAAGGCCCCTCAACCTCTGCTGTTCGTGATACGTTAATGCCTTTTTCTCAGTTTCATGTTCTGTTCCTCTCACCTTAACAGAAGGCTTACTGGTGCCAACCATTGCATCTGTTAGTTTGGGAAGGCAGAAAATGTGAGGATAGACATGCATTTGGATACAAGCTGATTGCATGCAATGCAGAGTAATCAGGTTTTGCAACAGCACATGAATGATGAACAAGCTGATATTGCCTTGGCTGTGTTTAGCTTTGCTTCTGAATGGAAGAATAGCTCAAAAATAGAACCCTCTGTTATTTCAAGGCTGTAAGAGACAGCCAAACTCTTTAGCTCCTATGAGCTCCTAAACACCACATCTTACAATGTGGCAATTTAAGGAAAACAATGACAGTTTGCCATAAATTAGTGTTTGTATGCTGTGGCAGTTCAGGAACTGATAAGTGCTTCTCAGTTCAGGCAAGGAAACAGCTGGTTGTTAGCCTGCGTTGGCCCACTCATCCTCTTTTATTAACTTTGAACCTACTGGCCCACTTCAATCAAATTAAACAAGTTGTGTTAAAATCAGCAGCTGGGAAGAATAAAAGGTTTGCTGTTGATATATTTGATTGCACAAAACAGAGACTTAAATATGTGAGAAATGTATACACAGAATCACACACTGTGCCCCAGGGAAAAGTAGGCTTAATTCAGTCATCTAAGTATAGGTGTTTAATTTTAGACTTCCTTAAGTATCCTGCCTGGTTTTCAGTTATTGTTCTTCAAGGACTTGGGTCTCCTGTATGTGCTGCATCAGATGCATGTGGAGATCTTAGTCACTCTAGGCAATCCGAAATGCTAATGGATTACTAGCTATGGAAAACAAAATTGAGCCTACTGGGCATATCTGCTTATTTCAACAATAGATGTGGTGTGATTAGAGTTCAGACAGTACCAAAATAACGTCTCTGCTAAGGAAAAAGGTCCATCTCAGCTCAGTGGTTGCCTGTGGTCTTCAGATGGACAACCAGCTGCCACTGCCTGGTCTATCAACTGGTGTGTAGCTCAAAACCAGGCACAGCATGTACTGTCCCATACCAGCTGTTAACTGAGGAGCAGAGTAGGGAGCTGGGCTGCTGTCTGGTAGATGTGTGGAGAGGGGGTGGAGGCTGTGGGTATTGTTAGGGGAGAATGATGTACAGGGGAGGTGATCTTATTCCAAAGGGTAAACTCACAAGAGAAACGTTGGAGAACAGTAGGATATGTACAAGAGAGTACAAATCCAAAGGAAATAAGGCTTTATTAGTATTAGTTCTTTAGTTCTGATCTTTTTTTTTTTTTTAACACTCTGAAATGATGTTTTTCTAATGAAAATCTTTTTCAGATCCTTATCCCCAAATGACTGATCAGCCTTAACAAGCAACCAGACTTGAACAGTTGGATAACTTAGCAACAATACAAAAATGGGCATTTGGGAAAAGTCTTGTCAACTCTTCAGAACCAGTGCAGAGGTATTCTAGACACACAGAGAGGTTAAGATGAGTTGGCAGTTATTCTTCATTTTCACATAGAGGTTGATGGCTGGTGGGAAGACTGACTATGCCAGCTTGAGCTGTGATGGGGACGCATCAAATAACAGAGTGAAAATGTAGCTGCGGTGGAAAAAAAGGCACTCCTCCCTTGCTATGCTACATTTCCTAGGACAAGCCTTTGATGTTACTATGTAAATGTGTGTTTTAATTGGGAAAGCTTATTTGGCCACGTGCTTTGTAAAAATATGTCAAAGAACAGCATTACTTTGTTAAGAGGGAGGACTATTGTCCTGCACCATGGTTAAGCCTACAGGTGGTCTTTAAGGAAAACAATGTGTTTAATTCTTAAAAGGGGAATTTGCAAATACATTTCTCATGGCAGCTTAACCTTTATTCTTTTAGCATTTATCTGTGTACGCCCATTGAAGGATACTGTCAGACTGTAATGGAGATAATGGGCCAAATTTATCATCAGAATAGTTCCAGTCTTCCTTCCAGTTTTGATTTATAGCTTAACTGAGAACTGCATCAAATTGCATATCTGATGCAGATTCCCAGGGATTTGGATGAAAGCCACATACATCCAGCATCAAAACCTGGCAAGCTGCCTATGACTCTGTAATATGTCTTTAATCCTTGGACGAAGCTAGTCAAGATATTGGTAATAGAGGGCCAAGTCTCCAGGTTGCATAAATTAGCTATTCCATTGAAGTTGATAAGAGTTATGCTGATTTAGATAAGTTGAGGTTGCAGCCTAGAAAGTGAATGAGAAAGCAAAGCAGGGCAGAGAAAGACAATGATTTTCAAGGAACAATTCAACAACGTGCGGAGCAGTCCTATGCAGTACTTACATCCTGGTTGGACATCTCCCAGTATGGCCTCTCACCGTAGGACATCACTTCCCACATTACAATCCCGTAGCTCCATGCATCGCTTGCTGAAGAGAACTTACGGTAAGCTATAGCTTCAGGAGCAGTCCACCGTATAGGGATTTTTCCACCCTGCAAAATACATTGACAGTGTATCAATATGACTGGAAAAGAGAATAGCACTTGTTTAAAAGAAAAAAAGGTATCCTACATGCTGAGTTCTGCCTTCTGTCAATTTACCTTGTCAATTTGCTGCTAGTGAAAAGGAAGAAATAACCCTTTTTCAGAATCTGATAGAAATTTGTTTTCGTCTGTAGTCTAATTCACCAAAACCAGTGCTTCTTGAAAAAAATCTCTGTTCAGAAAACAGAAAACTTTTTAGATGATCCATGTTCGTTCAAGGCCATATAATTAGTCAGAACATGCCTTTTGACTGAAAAATAAACACATTTGAGATTCCTAATAAACTTTTAAGACATTTAAGACATTTAATCTCTTTCCTCAAATGAAACAGAATCATTTATTGCAAAAGGGAATACCCAAAGCACTGAATAAAATTATAGAAGCAGAAAGGAAGCTATAGCCTTTCTATTATTCTTTACTTTTGATGATGTATTTTGTTTTTTGTTTGTGCCCTTTAAATGTCTACGTAAATAGCAAAACAAGTTTGTTTCTAGTAGGCATTTTCTTAGGGTATTGAATGATTTTGTTCTGCAGCTTTCAACTTAAAATTCAAGTACTACCACAAAAAAATGGGGGTAAGAATTTAATTGACAAACCTGACTTACTCTTTTGGAGACCATTGTGTGCAGAATTTTTCTCTGACATTACTAATTTACTTCACTGCATCTGTTCTACACTTCCACAAATAGTTTATGTACAAAAACCTATTTTTCCTTTTCATAACAAAGTGTTTCTTCTCCATTTCTCAATTCAAAACTACGTATTTATTATCATTCTCTGCATAACTTTTCAAAGAGGTTGTTTTGAGTGAGTGAGCAGTATGCTTGTGGTGCCACTAGATGGTAGGAGGAGGCAGGCAGTGGAGCTGAGCTAACAGCAGGAGTTGCTTTCAACCAGCAGTAATAGACTCTGCTCAGTGTTATGATTTTATTTCTGACAGAAACAAAGGAAGAAATGAACTAGAACATCAGGTTTGGCAGTTGAAGAGAAGCCACAGTTAAAAACAAGTATGCAAATCTCTGTTAATTTGCTTTGAATATACACAAAAATATTTGCCTGTGAGCTGTTGAGGCCTGATGCAAAATTGACTCCGAGTATGCTTCTTTTACCAGAAAGTGTTCAAAAGCAAAGCTTGGTGTCTGCAGTGACATGCCAGAAAGCTAACTTCTCATCACTGACCACTACCTTCTGATGAAAAATGTACGGTTAGCATTTAAGTTGTATGATAGTTAAGAGAGTCCTCTGCATGAGCTTACATTTTTTGCAGCTGTTTGTTTAAAGCCTTTGCCTGATCAGTTTTGGCCTCACACAGGTCTGGTTGGCATCAGTAGCAAACTGCCTACTGATTTTCACAGCAGTAAGATAAAGGTAACACTTTGTGTTGTATTTTTGACCAAGATACCCCCTGCTTCCCTGTTTTACTTTCCTTAATCCAATCACCTGGTGACCAGCTCACTCACCTGGGATGCACAAGATACAAAGACCTTAATGCCACCCCTGCTGCCACCCCTGAGCAGGCCCTGCCCAGCGTGTGTTACAGCTGCAGGGTGAGATGATGCTTCTCATCCCTCCCTGGTACAGCTGTTCCACTTGGGAAGCAATTACAAACGCATTTGGGTATGAGAATGGAAAAACAGGATGCCACAGGAGATTTATGATAGGACATTCTCCACGGAAAGACAAGCCTGATTTCTAAATAAATTAGATGAGAACATTTGGCGTTTGATGACTCACAGTCTGCAATGGTATTTTGGTGGGATGTGTAAGCCCAGGCCTCCTTAGGCAGTGGAAGATTTAAATATTTAAATATCGTGTGCCCCCGATGAGCACAATGCACTTGGCTGCCCGACCAGAAGGATTTATTCCCCAGAATCACTTGAACTATGGAGAATGGTTCATCACAGCGAGTGGGGACTGAGGTTAAATATATCCTCACACCACAGTATGGGGCCTTATATTTTTTACTGGCTCAAGCTTAGTCCTTTATTTTTAAACACTTTGTTGTCAATTTTATGTATTCAATTTTCAGATCCCTGGCTTTTGCAGGGTTTTGGGGGGGAGACAATAAGTATTTTCCTGGCGTAAGTCACAGGGTTGTGGCAAGCACTTACCACCTTATTTTGGACTTGGACACATGCATTTTTAATAAGGTACACAACATTGATGCTGACCCATATTACAAGAGACACTACCCTGAAAATCCTAAATGCTCTTCCTCATCATAGCATATTAATCCTGACTGCCAAGTGATGTAGGACACCAATGAGAGTTTACCCTCTGAATCCAGTCTCAGCAAACAATCCTTGCTGCCTTTAGCTTTATACCCATTCAGGATACTTTCTGAAGTGCTACAACAGCATTTGAGGGAGGATAAAAAAGAAAAAATTCTTATTTTCTTTCCTCATCACAGTCTCAGGAGCGAACAGGGAAAAAAAAAACTACCAGTTTAAATGATCGTGTTACTATCAGACTTACACATTGTTTATCATGACAAACTGATGAGTCTACACATTTACAGTGAGCCTACATTTCCACTTTGTATACTTGTATTAATAATTTATCAGTATTTTAACAAAAAGCCTACTTTTTAATCTTTTAGGGAAAGCACAAATCTATCATGCAAATTAAAAGCATTTGGATATTTACAAAATTTGACTAACAATTTAACATCATATGGATACCAATGTGCATAATTATTTTAATTTTTTTTTTTTTCCATTGATCTGATTATGTATTCCCAAATTATACTCAAAAGAGAAGTCACTGTTGTCATCTTGAGCAGCTTTTGCAGCTCAACCTGTGGACTGTTGGCTAAATATAAATGAGTTTCAAAGAATCTGACTAGACTCTGTAACTAGTTTCATCATGCAGCTTTACTGACTGATCCTTTTTGGACTGAAACAGTAGTGGCTCATTGAGTGTGAAAATGAGAATGGAGAACAGCATCTTAACAAAATTCAAGGCAGTTCATGTTCAAGGGCATAAGATGTGCTCAGTGTTGTAATGCAAAAGAAGATCTTTTGTGCTAGCCCTAATGACAAAACGAAGCAAAACCTCTAACATTTTTAAGTGGATTCATCTCAAACATGACACAATATTCATAAAAATGTAAATTTCAACAATTAATTATGTTTGCAGTATATGTTTTTATGCAAAAAAAAAAAAAGTTGCTTTATTTATTTGAAAACAATTCAAAAGGTGGAGATTGCAATATGACTACCTTAAGACACATACATAACTGAACAATAGTAATAGCTGCTCATGCATAATAGAAGGGCATGTAAGGTTTAAAATAGCTAAAAATATAATTCCTGTATCTGGTTAGAGTAATAAACACTGTTACTGATATTGGACATTTCTTTTTATATTTTGATCTAATTAGGAAAATTGTAAATACTTATGCTTATACAATGCCCCACCTTCAAGTTAATTTATAAATCATCTACATTTTAGTACTGCAGCGATGCAATCTGTGACAACTCCCTGTATCAGAAAGCCCTTGAGCATGCTTCTTATGCTTTTTTTTTTCTTCTTTTTTTGGGGGGGAGGAGATTGTTGGGGGAGTGGGGAAGAGGGGAAGGGACAGAAGTGGTGTTAGGAAATACGCTGTATTTCTGCCTCACCTCATACATTAATAATGACATCAGTGACAAGCTAATTTTATTTTCGTATAGTAAAAGAACACGAACACTGCAATTCAAATTATTAGAATTTTTGCATAATCCTTTTTTGCATACACTTCCTGCTGAATACTGTCTAGCTCCTGATATTTTTCTTGATTGTCATTTAATGCGTAATTCCACTTGGAATTAGAGTATTAGGCTGACATTGCTTCATGTGTAGAACTGCTCAGAGATCAGCTCCTGAAATGAAATTTGCCCTCTTGCCCACCCACACCTACGCAGATGCTGGCTTTCCCAGCAGAGCTGGCAATAGCGGTTTGCCACATGTTCAATGACAGGATTGGAATTGTGTGTTACAGAAAGCCTTTCTTTGCCTAAAGCAACGCATCAGAGAGACAGTCTTCCCAAAATGCTGTCTCTTATTTGAGCTTACAGCAAAAAGGCGCTTATGATCTGCTATGTGAAAAGACACTGGCGAGCAACTGATGCTGACATTACATACTGTCCAACAGGCAGCAAAGTCTATTCCTTACTCTGCGTTTTTGCCATCTCCAATTTGATTTTTTTTATATTTTATTTTACATGGTTGATGTCTTTTTAAAGAAACAAGAGGCATGAAAAGTTTCTTTTAATTAAATATTTAAACATGTTTTAACACTGGAGCAGAACACTGTAACTGGCAGCTACAGCCCATTATTTCACTAAGGTGAAGGTCGGGATACATCAGCTCAAAATCCTTGATGTGAAAAATGACACAGAGGGCAAAGAAGCAAAGAAGGAGGTCTGTTAGATGCCCAGAACTTCTGGCATACCCTGCTAGCTAATTAAAGAAAGGAGCGACTACAGTGAAAACCTCAGATATAAAATTGAAGGTAAGATTTACGAGCTCTTAATGGATGTGCAAAGACAGTGATGTACGTAAGCTGCCAGAAACAAACACTGTGCATCAGGCCCCATGATGTCCTCAGAACTAACAGGGATGTGAAACAGTACCTATTTCTGTTGGGAAGTCTGTTCCTTGTTTTCCTTGAGTGACAGAGCATGCAGAGGGACTGTCACAGAAGTGATTGAGGTTTTATGAAATGCTGAGGCACAAACCCATCAGTTCCAGATCCACAGACACCTAGAACTGTCTCTTTCTAGGACAAGAGGCAGTGAACTACATGCACCATTAGTCTAATCTGGCAGAGCAGTTCCTATGTATCTGTCACTTACTATTCTCTTATGTATGATGTTACTGAAATGGGCAATTTTCCATGACACAAGTGTAGTATCTGTCTTTTTCTCCACCCCATGTGACAGAAATGGGAAAAGAACTTCAGAGTG